GTACCCGTACCCGGCCGGGTACTGGTACCCATTTGCGACCCTGGTGCGGCCGGGTACGGGTACGGGTAAGGAATCAAAACCCGTTTGCGACCTCTGCTCTGGGGCAGGGGACCCTCGGTAGCAACTGACCCCTGTGAGGCTCAGTGAACGCAGCGCCAGCACGGCAAGTGGAAACTTTGACTGCAGTCTGAGAAAATCCTGCATTCGATTACAAGTCCAATGTTTTAGCCTTCATACCACTGCGACTCGATATGTATGTTGAACTTCTTTCGCACCGTACGTAGCCAACCGTGCTAATCAGAGGTGCGGGGAGAAGGACAACAAACTGAACACACGCAAAACAATGATGTGCACAGGTAGTAGATGAAACAAAAACTAAACAAGTTGAAGCGAGAAAAATAAAGTCATTCTGTGAGCGATGACAATTTGAACTTGAGAAAATCGAGAGTGGAGCAAACTCGCAGTTGAGGCACAATGGAATGAATGGATGGGGTGGTTGCAGTGCCGGATTATCCCAGTAGCAAAAGTAGCGACACATGCTATGGGCCCCGCACTTTCAAGGGCCCCGCGCTAAATGCTTTCAAGCCATCAATTCCGGTTCAGTGATTCTGCACTTGCTCTATTACTATAGTACTATACCGCCTTCAACTTTTATGAACGCGCTAAATGCTTTCAAGCTATCAATTCCGGTTCAGTGATTCTGCACTTGCTCTATTACTATAGTACTATACCGCCTTCAACTTTTATGAACGCGCTAAACGCTTTCAAGCTATCAATTCCGGTTCAGTGATTCTGCACTTGCTCTATTACTATAGTACTATACCGCCTTCAACTTTTATGAACAACTGAGTGTTTAAGGTTAGCGATTTGCCTTATTATCTGGCTGTATAGCAAATTAAAAAATACAATTACTTTACTATGCAAGTTAAAAATGTGCGTTTTAATATTTACGTGTTTTTAAAACAATTTAAGCCCCCTCTTTAACATGTGCTACAGGCCCCGCACTTGCATAATCCGGCACTGCGTGGTTGCACATCACCTGCTGTGCGGGTCTGGGTATTGAATTCCTCTGTCGAGGTCAGTCGCCCTTGGCCCTTGACGACGACCCACTCACCCGACATCGTCATGTCCATGTCACCCGTCTTCCGAGGACAGCGCGCAACTTCAAGCACAAACCCGTGCGCGCAATAAAAACTATTGGGCGATCGAATGCGGGCAGTACGTAGGTTAAAACTGCTGTATGGGACGAGACGTGATTTTTTTAAATTTCTCAGTAGGCTGGCTCGTCTCCATAACAACGGCACATACACAAAGCACGGTGACGTCCCGTGGCGAAGTTGTTAATAATTCATCATGACGGGCTTACATAAGCAGCCACGGGGCCCTGCCACAACTAAATTCATAAATAATATGAATAACAGTAATGAAATTGTAACGTGGGCAGGATGTGAACACTTTTCAGTGCTGTACGCTGCAGACGTAAGAGGTTGATGCTTGGTTTTACCACAAATAGAAATTGTAAAGTAATGCGTGAGTGCCACCTGCTGCTGATTTGGACTAGGGGTGTTGAGAACGCAAGCCTCCTAGAAATTGTGAAAAAGAGCTCAAGAGCTCATCGGATTCCTCCATAAAAACATATTCTGATTCATTTTGTGCTTTACTAACATTTCTATTTTTATTGCCATTTTTTAAATGTGATTCTGGGTTGCATATAATGTTGCACAATGCGGTATAATAACATTTTCATTTACAAGGAACTGTGTTAAACATTTAGCTGTTTATATTAGCATCGATAACATTTTAAGGGATTTTTGTTTAAAAAGTTGCATTTACCATATTGTGATTATTTTTGCCCTTTGGCTCGATGTTTTGTTTACTTATTCAATACATTCACACGAAGGAAAATGTATACAGTTCCATGAATTGAATAATATGTGGCTGGCAGGAACATAAACAGAAAGGCCAGCACACGGCATATTCATTTCATGCACATGGTCAGCGCGTTTGGCAATTTTAGTGAACAAATGAAAGAGTAAAAATTTAATGCAAACACATTTGAAGGTCAGAGACCGATTCAACTGCCCAAATTTGGGCCATCGCTTTATCATTCCCAGGAAAACATACGGCTGCTGCCACACTCATGTAAACTACAACCTTGTGGTATTGGATGTAATGCTCGGCAAAGTCTAAAGAGATAACCACAAATTGCATTGCTTGCTGTGCAGTCGCCGGAGCATTGTTTTCGATGTATTTAATATGAACGGATAGTCTTCGTTCCGATTGAGTTTGGCAATACCTACACGTGAGGCAGACATTCCAGGTTCTGATGACATTTTTTATTCATGATTTAGCCGAATTAAAGCGAAATCCATTTCAATATCAAATATGAAAGCAAAATCAGGTGAACGGGTTACTTATTAACCAAGTGGGTTTCAGGATTTCAGGAAGCCTCCCTGTTAAAAGGGGTGAAATGAGGTAAGAAAATGTCTAAACACAGATGTCCTTTGAAATGTTTTTTTACTTTTGTCAAATGTGGGGCATTTTATGGTCCAAAATGTGGCTTGCCTGTTATAATGGCACCATTCACCTTGGTGTGAAGCCACACAGCCTGGCATTGTACAATGGAAATCACCCAGCGCTGAAAATCATTGTGTTTCGTGAGGAGAAAAGGTAGATTAATAGTGGTTTGAGCAGCCACAAAACACAAGGCCGTGGGTTGAAATCCCATTTTGGAGGAGACAGGTGCGATGAAAGAGCACACACAAGGGTGACCCAGTCTTTACTAAACCAGGGTCAGAATGTGTGAAAGTAAAAGATGACAAACAGCCACCTGCGGTCGTGTCAGAAGTGAAGGCATACAGGCTGACACGTCCCACCAATCTGAGCTTTCTACAGTATATTACAAACATGTTACAATTCGCTACTTCCATGGCAAACGTTCTCTTCGATTTCAATTCATCAAAGCAAAAACGGTTCACCCTGGGAAATTATAATGAAATTAACGTGTTCGCTAAAATTGATTCGTGGACTTGTTTCATATTTAGCACATTACTAAATTGCTATTTTGCTTCAGCTTAAAATAAAAAATCAATAACTCACTTCCCATAATTTTGAAACTAACCGTGACAAAATGGACATATTTTCATAATGGATTAATTAAAATACAATGAAAATTCCTAATTTGCATGATTGGTTTTATAAAAAATTTAATATAAATCGTTTTTCTTCAATGATTTTCCTTCACATTCACTTAAATAGGGCATTGCGATTATATTTTTTAATCCAAATATAAACTCTATTATGTCACTAATTTACTGGACATAGATTACTTAACTCTACAATTATTTGGATTCAGTCACGAATATTTGAACTCTACATTTTACTCGACAACAATAAGGTTATATTGTTTTTTTTTTTAAATGTGTTATTGAACCTGCAACGCAAACGCCGTGGTGGTGAGATATTAACTACCTCGCCTGGTATACATGGGGTGGTGAGTTCGAGCTTGAGCCTGACGCCTGCTGTATATTTGGAGTTTGCATGTCTCTCTCTCCATGGTCGTTTTCCCTCCACATTTAGAAACATGCATTTCGAGTATTTAGCTGCTATACATGTCCACGTGATAAGCCACTTCGTTGAGCAATCATTTGTGGCCAGGTCGCTTCTAAAAAACAGCTATATAGCTCAGTGGGCCTTACCTGGTATAATAAATTGTTTAGTTTTAGTTTCAAACACAACCAAAGGTGAACAAATTCGTGCGTGAGGAGCATGTGGACAGAAGCCGCGTCCTCTGGATGATTCTCCCCCTCATAACAATATGGTTATTAATATGATCATAGTGGTTGTCGGTTATATTTGAAGTTAGCATAAATGATGGTTCACGCACGATACATTGAGGCAAATACATTTTTTATTCATTCAGATGCTGTCTTTCCGACAGACCTGTTCTTCACCTGAGGACGGCTGCTTGCGTTGTGGCCGAAACGTCGTGAGAATTGTATTTTATTATGTTTTATTTTTATTATTTTATTATTTCCCTTCTACGTGACTTTACCAAAAGAACCAAAAAGATAGGTATGTTTAGTCAAATGTGTATGTGTAAATTACACAACCTAATAATAATAAGCTTTATTTCTGTTTGTAATTTATACACTCTATGGTTCAGCCAGTTCTACAGGAGTGCCAAAGTTCGCATTGAACTGAGGCTAAATGTCTCTAGGCTAATACAAACGAAACGCTCAAAATGTCAACACTTCAAGACCTTTCTGAACACTTTTGAATAGTATTTTAAAGCTCCATTTACAAATTATATACATGTATTCCATTGCTGGGGTTTTGCGATTAAGCAGAGCGAATGTAAACAAGGTCTCAATAAGCTTCTGTTGTGCTTCCATTTGTGGACAGGAATAATGATTACTGAACAATTAGGCTGATTGCCGTGAAAGAGGATTTGTGGTCTCTTGGGAACAGTCTAGGACGGGGTGCTTGAGCTCTTTCCAAAGTGGCTCTGATCCACTGCAAAGGGATCACGGCTAGAGACAAAAACAGCTATCACCAAAAACCAGGAGACCTGTGTCCAGAAGTCTACATCAGACAGAAGGAGTCGAACTACAATACCAATCTGTGGCCTTCCAGAATTGTTACCGGAACCTCGTGGACGGAGATAGCTTAACCTTCACGTTCCAAGAAACGACCACTCCAGTAAGCTTCGCGAGGCATGTCCATAAAGCCTCCTTTGTTAAAAAACATCACCGTGTTATATTTCAAGAGCAAAAGAATAGTACTCTTATTTCTACGTCTATAGACATCCCGTTATGGATTCCAAACGCTGAAAGAGAAATATTTTACAACAATGGATACGATGTACAAAGAGATGTGAATAAAGCAAACAAGAACATCTGCAGCTTTGTCCACAAAACAAATGCTCGTGGATCAGCTTGATGGTCACTAAGTCGCCATGCTCCACTCGTTGACCCGTGTCTGTTGGCGTTGACGTGTAGACGGAATGTTTCGCCGCCTCCGGAGAAGCCTTCGCAAGGTTGCTCCAATCCTCACACCAGATGGGGACACCTCAGCCCAGCCAGGCCAGCGGCAAGGATCAAAGCGTGAGTTCCACACTGAATATCTGGCTTTCGATGGCACGATTGCAAAGACACACATAGAAATTGTATGAATAATAATAATATATAAATTATCAAATTTCAGATGAACGTGCTTAAGCTGTATTTCCAACATGAGCAATGATGTATACTAAATATACTTATACTTTAACAATGATTTCGATTTAAAGCTTTCGTGACTGCAGGGATTCATCTTCTTGGTTCTTTGGGTAAACTCGACCTCAGGTGGAGAGGTCGAGTTTACGGCTGCTTGCGTTGTGGCCGAAACGTCGTGAGAATTATTTTATTATGTTTTATTTTTATTATTTTATTATTTCCACTTCTACGTGACTTTACCGAAAGAACCAAGAAGATTTAACAATGATGTTTATTAAAGAATCTTTAAATTAATGGGAATGTAGATTGAGGTAGATTGCAAAAGCCACCAGGCGTTGATGTTGAGGGCAATGGTTGCATTTGCTGTTTAATATATTTACGCGTCACATTGAGATGCGTAGCGTTCCGATTTGTTTTTGGTGCAAGCTGGAGTGCAATTAAACACATTCATGTTCTCCATATATTTATCTGGCTGGTCATAGCACCGTCAGCTTGTGAAACGCCATAACGTGGCTCAACAGTTTCCCACTACGTTATATGTCCCTGCGTCATAACGGGATTGTGCCAGTTTTTTACCTTTTTCAGGTTTATTTTGCTTTAACCTGGGAATAGCTCAAGGAAACATGATATTATAATTTGCTCGGGTGACCTGGGGCATTAGTCTGCCAGCAGGAGGTGATGATTGCTGTGCACAGTCCCAATTTAGTAAGTTGCTGGTACATTCTTAAGTTGGTACATTTGGACCCTGAAGGTCCACTGCTAAGCATATGTTGCTTATGATTATGGTGGTGGTTATTACACCTGTGGTAATAATCAGGCGGCCACTGGAACAAGTAGTGAATGTGCTTCTACGAGGTCAGGGAGTCAACAACAATAAAAACAAGAGGAGCCATTTTTTTTCGAATTCGGTCAAATAAAAACTAAATATTTCAAGAGCCGTAGTGCCTTAAAGAACCGCGTGCCATTCCGGCGCCGCAGATTGCCGAGTCCCTGTACTCGACCATGTCACCGCCTACTTGTGCAGGTGGTTAACACACCTGCAGCAGAATCCCGGAGAGCTTAGTCCGGCGAATGGCCACGGCTAAATATAAGTGGCGAGTGATACTGTGGATGAACAAGATTCAGGATCCAACACCCAGTCACCGATCCGCACTGAGCAGTGTGGTGAATACGCTCCAACAACCCCTATTACTGACGCAGCATGGGGAGGCCTTCATCCAGTAGGGGTTTGATAAAGGGCTGCGATTGTGTTTTATTCGTTTTTAATCATGGACTTTTGTATTGCTTTTGCGTGATGACGCTGTACTCTGTCAAATAATTTTATTTGACACTGTCGATTGCTCTTCAAATGGTTGCAACGAAATTAAAAACATGTTTTCATTTGTTTATTGCACATCATATGCTTTCATTGTAAGCTCAATGTTTGTTTTAATATATATCCAACTGATCGCTGTGTTGTATGCTTCTCATTAATGCGTATGGAAAAAAGTCACCGAACTCAAATGCAAATCCTACGCCCGAATCAAAGTGTAAGTGTTTTTATCCCTTCTCTCGTTTTGATTTTGCTTCAAAAGTCCTCTGCACACAGAACACCTCTTGAAGACAAATCTCCTCCCCACATTCCATTTAAAGTAGGGGATATTGCTGCACTGTTCCGTATTTATTCATCAGTTTGAAAGGGGCTACACAGACCTCTGTAGCTTCAAAGCCTTCTTTGTGATGCTGAAGCGTTCGCTCAAAGCGGTGCGGGACACTTTCATTCAAGGCAAACAACATTATTGGCTCATTTTATTCCCACAGAAATGTGCCCAAAACATGCTACTTAGCCCCGTTAAAAATGAAGTTACATTCCAGATTCCACAATTGGCAATATAAAGTGCTGCCTTTAAAGTGACCCAACTTGCAATAGAGTATTCCAAAACGAGCTTTACTCTGGCTTATCAAATGTGAGCATCTTGTGTGCAGCCATTTCCTTAATTTTCCTTCATGGAAGCTTCTTCAAGAGCTGAACTATTAAAGCTCGGTTCCTGAAGAAGATGCCTGCATGTAGAGACAAACGTGCAGAGAACTTCTTCAGTTCAGTTCCTGAAGAAAGCTCCCAAGATGTGAAGCGAAACGTCAGACATCATCCCAAATAACCCCAAACCACACCAGAGAGCTATCTACACCACACCCACAAAAAAAACATACAGTTATTGTGTCTATACCAGTGTCAATTCCCACACATGCCCTTTGCGTGTACCTGAATCGTTTGTTGAATAAAATACTTTTTGCAAAAAGAAAAAAAAACATGCAATCGTAGTAGCGTAACCGAAGTTTTGTTCTACATTTATCTTAGGCCAGCCCAGTGATGCTCAGGCCCAGTCAAAGCAATCAACTGAAGGCCCAGGTCCCAGGGCTGTGGAGGCCCCTGACCCTCCTGAGCCGCTGCCTTCAAGTGCAGCCACGCCAGGAGATGCCCGACAGCAGACGGACGATGCAAGGTATTCAGCAACAAGAAGTTGGCTCGCCGCTCACCTCCAGTCGCTGCTCACCACGGCATTGCCTGCACTCTCAAAAAAAAAGATTGGTCACAAAATCCTCGAGATGTTGAGCACCTAGACCAGTGGTCGGGAACCTATGGCTCGCGAGCCATAAATGGCTCTTCCAGTGACGGCATATGGCTCCCAGACAATTTTGAGTTGAAAAAAATAATAATAAAAAATAAAAAAAATCTGTTTGGAAATGATTTTAAAATACTTGTGATATTGCTTAATAAGACCGTGTCATTTTAAAGTAAACAGAAATTAGTTTTGAAGATAAAGTTCACGGGTCACGCCTGCATGAAGCTCAACCTCACCACGTATGAACCAGACTACAAGGCCATCAGCAAAACCATGCAGCACCAGAAGTCGCATTAGAAGTAAGACATATTTAATTTATTATACGTTAAAAATACTATATGGCTCTCAATGAAATATATTTAGAAATATTTGGCTTTTATGGCTCTCCCAGTCAAAAAGGTTCCCGACCCCTGACCTAGACAATGCAATACTTCGCACATCCAACCCTCACGTGTCTACCCTGACCAGTTAACCACCCCGATCGTGTGCAGCGTCAATGTAACTGTAATTTTTTTAATATATTTTCACAAACACAACCTTTTCACATACGTACATTTATTATTATTCTGAAATGCATGTGCTTCGTTGTCAAGCAAAGCATTGTCCCATGTTTGAAGCAGTTTATGTTTCATTTTTGTCGAGTACCATATTTGTGCATGGTGTAAATTGCCATTTTCTATAGATGTTCAATTGTTGTCACGAACACTAGCTTCTGAGAAACATTTCTGGCATAAAAAATGTATGCACTGCCATAACACATATTGCCCTCCAAAAGATATACGTAGATAATAGAGTAGATATAATAATACACTCATGTAAAAAAGTTGTGAGTGTTATTTTTCGTAAGGTTAGCCTCGCTTCACACATTTTCTCTCCAGCTAAGATGATCCAATGCCAAACTAGTTGTGAAGTGAGTCGCGTGCCCCTACGTGGTGACCACATCATGCCTGAGAATAGCGGCCAAACAAACCCTAAGGTGAACACAAGAGTGCATGCGTAGAGTGGCGTGGCGCTGGGCATAAGCAACTTAAGCAAACACTTAGGGCCCCTGAATAGTTCTAGGCGCTCTGGATTCGTGAGAGAATTGGGTTGAATCTAATATCAATTCAAATTCAAATCCTAACATGCAAGAACAAAGCGAATTCATCTCTCTCATACCTATCTTGTTGGCATATCTCTTTTCTCACCTAAATTCTTTGTTGTCTCCTGTCGAAATGTCTCATTTAACTGCATCTCTCTCATTATCTGTATATTCTCTCATTCTGCCATCTTACTACATTTCTACAGTTTGTCCATATCTTAATAAAAATAAATTGCTCAGCTTCCAATGGGCCAGCACACCACTGCACGTGTGTGTGTGCGCGCTATGAACCCGACGACCCGAGTTCGATTCCCGCTCACGGCCAACACTAGTGACGATTATCTGAACAGGTTATGGCCCCCCCCTAGGTCGACTCAGCCTCAAATGAGTACCTGGTGCTGTGCCGGCCTTCATAGATGTGCGCTTACAGCCTGTTAAAGGCTATACAGGGGATCTTTGTCTTTTTGTTCCTAAAGGAATGACAAGGAGGTTGCTGATAAGAGGTTGGCAGATTCCTCAACTTTGCAACTCAACCTAGAGACGGAGATGCACATTCGAGATCTGGTGGAGCGTTTTCGACTCCGCACGGAGACTATGAAGGACTACATCATGGACCCAGATGCCTCCTCGCCAGAGCCCAGCCCTGAACCGTGTTCGTAGAGATACCATTCACCATCATCAGCCATGGTCAATCCACTGCTGGATGAAGGCCTCCCCAAGCCACTGCCATCGCTCTCGCGAGATGCAATTGCACCTCGTGTCCTTGTGAAGAACAAAACGATTTCAAATGTTTAATTTTCATGCTGCATGCATTGTGAGGAGTGCTGGTGTTGCGGTGGTTTGCACACTGCACTGTGAACCCGCTGACCTGAGTTTTATTCCTGACCATGAATAACAGCAGTGGCGAGGGATATCTCAACCTGGTCTTGGGCCTCTGCTTTGCCAACTAGAAAATGCCCAAAGTAACGAACGTCCAAGAAACCGCCATGACTCACATGGTGTGGGGAGGCTATCATCCGGAAGTGTATTTACAAAGGTTTTACATTATTATTGCTGCATGTATTCTTATTGTGATATAATTTATAATCATTTTGTTTATATATACTAAAGTGTATGTGTATATGTTACATTTCTTTCAGCACCGTACGTAGCCAGCCGTGCTAATCGGAGGTGTGTGGGCAACATCATGAAGCTTACTTGTTAGTGTCTTCTTTAATAATGGTTGAAGCATTCTTTGATTCTCATTTTTTAAGCAAGCCAGCAGACATTCCTTCTGGTGATAATTTGTTTTCAACAGTTATTACAACGTAACATGTGTTTCCCTTCAAGCAGAAAAAAAAATGTGATTTGCACTTTGTGACATTTTATCCTTCAAGATCTGACCATAAATTTCCATTGATGTTGCGAAACATTTCTATGTATGGTGATTACAGTGATTGTAATTGACACAATAACCTTTGGGATCTGTTATCTATGGGAGCTGCACAGATCAGTGAAAAGTAGAACTCAAACATGAAAACCCAAAGAATAGATGGAATTGGCACTTTATTTCACGCCCACATCTGCCTGCTGTCAATTGGAGCAGGGTTTGGGGGTTGGAGTACTCTGGAAATTATTTCATGAAAAATTAAGCCGTGGCCAAAAAAAAAAAAAGTCAGCCTCAGATGAAGTTTGTGTCTCATCCATCTTTTCCACCCTCAAACCCTGCAGCACCTATAAAGAAGCCTCCAGGTAAAGCACCACCACCTCCACCAGTGAAGGGAGAGGAGAAAAAGGAGGAAACAACTCCGCAAGCCGAAGTGGAGGCCGCCACTGAACAACACGAATGTCAAATGCTTTGCTGTCGGTTCAAGCGGAGGCCCTGGATGGATAAGATCAAGAAAATGAAGCTGCCAGAAACCATTGATCCATGCGCAGGTAACGGCGCATTGCTCACATGCACGACGGTGATCTGTCACATCCTGGGTGAGGACGGTGACAAGGTGTGGGACTGTTCACCTGAGGAGTAAGTAAGGTCGCCAGTGGGAAGAGACGACAGTTTTGTAATAAACCATCATAGACCCTGCTCGCCCTATACCATGTCAAATGAAGGGCTTCCAGGCAGATAGGATGTGACAGAGACAGACACGGGATTGACAGACCCAATTGTGTTACGTTAATTGTAAAGGCTTAGCCCCCCCCCCCCCTTATATTGTCCCCATCTAATAATTAGCCTGCTGACCTTTCCCAAAGGCGAGACTGTCTCATATTAGGGTGTTAAAACTGTATCCCTTTAAATCTTACGATGACTCAGCCACCTTCTTCAATATGTACAGTAGGTGGAGAGTGGTGGTGCAGTGGTAAGCTTATCGCTCCTTGAACTTGGCCTCCTGAATGTGATTCCCGGTCACAGCCAGCATAAGTCGCGAATGATATCCGAAGCCTTTCACCGACAAGCACAGACCAACGTTGTGAAGAATATAGCACGGGTGAATGATTGGCATCGTCGTGGAGACTAAAGGTACCAAACTAAATTATAACAAAGAACACGACGGTAAGCGGAAGCATATTGTCTCCTTATTGTGGCAAAGTAAGATCAAAACAAACCACCCCACCCAAGACTTTCAAGCTGTGGAGAGGCTTTCAGCCCACCCCCCCGGTGGACTGACAAAATCGCTATTTGCATCGTGTACGGTGTGTGCCTCATGTAATACTTTACTTTTGTACTGCAGACAGGATATACTTGATATGGCTGGCGCTGGTGATGCTGGCATTCCAATGGAGCTGCTGGCTCCTGCCGCTCAGGTTGTCATTCCCCGTGCACACGTCCAACACCATGTCCTTCTGGTACATCGGTGATTACACGTGCGACGCCATCTACCTGTTAGACATCCTGGTCATGCAGCGTCGACTCCAGTTCATCAACCACGGGGACATTATCGTGAGTGCACTGGCACACGACAAATAGAAATGTGGAAGAAAAAAAAACCCAAAGAATTGAAACAGCAGTGAGATGACTCGACTCAGGTCCTGGTTTTCAGATGTGGATAACTCAACAAATGATTAAATTGGGATGTAAAGTCTATTTTTTGTTATTAAAAAAATATTGAACAACATTTTTGTTAAATTTGTTTGGCAAACGTTTTTCAGCAATAACTTTGTCATTTAAAATAATAATCACGTATTTACTCATAAGAGGTTTTTGGGTTAGATTGCGTAAATGTAAACTCGCCACCACCCGAGAGAGCTAATTAGTAATGTTTGTCACGTAAACAAAACATGCCAATTCGTTACGAGTACAGCACACCGGTGTGTTGGAGAGTAAACCCACTACATTTACCATTTTACTTTTACTCTCCAACACGTCGTTGTGTTGTGCGAGTAACGAATTGCCATGTTTCCAATATTGTTATGGATAATATTGGTCACGAAAGCCTACGTGTTAAACTAACTTATGTATTTACTTTTACAGACAGACAAGAAAGAGACATCAAAGTTCTATTTCCGTTCAGAAAAATTCAAGGTACCGTAAGTCAAAGTGACCCACAGCACATGGCATGAGCACCCAGGCTCGCCGCTCTGAACACTACACATTACGGCTGACTGCATCAGGGAAAATCGACTCTCGTCAGAGTCCACAATTTGCTTGTTAAAAAGGTGCAATCTTTGTAACAGGTCTAATCATCTTCATCGTTGTATCTGAGCCCTGCTCAGGCAGCCTATAATTTACTCAGATGTTCTGCAATCAAGCACTATTCCCACAACATCAAAGCAGACAGACCCTTCTATCATCCGCCTGAAAATCGCATCGTGTCCAGGTGACTTGCCAAATGTGGTCTTAAACAATCTGCCGAGTGTGCAGTCCTGCCTGTGTAACATGAAACATGTCTGCCGTGCAGTCAGACCTGCTCTCTCTGCTGCCTCTGGACATTTTGTACCTCAAGTTTGGGCCTTCTGCCATGTTCCGTCTGCCTCGCCTAATCAAGGTGAGTGTTTTCCATGGCCGAGCGGTCGAGCGGTTGCCACTTGTTGCAGACGTTCACAGTTCGGTCCCACGGCCGCCCTAGTTAATGCTGCTGCACACGCATTAACCGTGAACACTCACCGTTCAAACAGTGGACTATGTGTGCCTGCATCATGGTCTACATTTGCCAAATGTAAAACATATACTTGCAAATTACAATATATAATCTGGAAATATAGCAATCGACACTCTCTACTCGAGAAAGCCAAACAGAAAATGTGATTTACTATTTGTGAACCTGTATACATGGTGGCTGCCCGTCAATTTTGATAGAATTTTGGCAAAGATATTTTTTTATTGGCAGTGACTATGTCGCAGTAGCTCTTATTTGCCCAATGGACCAATAGGATCAACAAAGTCCATTTAAAAGGAGCACTGAGACAAGAACACCATAGGATGGTAAGAATGTGATTCGCACAGCCTCAGAGAATGTTTGTCGAGCATTAATTATCAGCAGCAGAAAAAAAATAGCTTGAAGCTACTCTGTCGTGTTTTGTGACACGACTATACATATGTGTTTTAGCTGTGCAAAATAACCAATGTTCTGCTGCGATAAGAATAATGTAACTAACATGTAACATGTACCAGCCGCTTGGCAATCCACTGCTGGACAAAGGTGTCAGCCATGAGGGGTTGTTTGGTGATATCCCACCGTGCTACTCGATGCAACTTGGTTGAAGAAGGGAGCCCATCACCGGTTCATTGGGGTGCCACGGTGATGAGATGTTAACTACCTCACCTGGTTAACAGGAGGTCGTGGGTTCGAGCCCGACCCTGAACGCCTGTATATTTGGAGTTTGCATGTTCTCCCTGTGATCGCGTGGATTTTTCTCCAGGTCCTCCGGGTTATACCTCCACATTTAGAATCAACGTGTGTTTAGAGTATTTGGCTGCTATACATTTCCACGCGATAAGCCACTTCGTTGAGCGAGCATCTGTAGCCAGGTCGCTACTGAAAAAAAGCGAGATAACTCAGTAGTGGGCCTTAGCTGGTAAAATAAAACAAATTGTTCAGTTTTAGTTCAGTTCATAGCCCACTCACCATTGATCTGAGGCATGGCAACTGAATGGCAACTTCTAAGTCTGCGCCCAGAGTGGTCAGGGTGAGCGATGAGAGCCCAGCTTTAACGAAGTTCCCCCGCTTTCAACGCGAGCGCAAACCGATGTCACTTGAAGGCCTCAGCAAGGGCCTTGTCGGTCGCGCGATTTGTTTGGCAAATACTCCACCGCACTTGCTTCGGCTGCTGCAAAGCAAACCCTCGAAAATTGGGGCCCATCTCGACCGGGCAGCGAGCACGACAGGGGAGCAGACGGTGCTTCGTCCGTCTGCTCCAAGCGTCGTGCGTTCGAGGAGCCGTGCACGGCTGTCGATTAGTCATCGCCGCTCTATTTTTGGGACGATGAACACGAAATGATGATAACCGCGCTGGTAAATACGGGGTTGGTGAAGTGAGAGGGGTAATGGTCGATCATCGGTTCAGATAGCCCTCGTCACTGATGTCCCCCCGTGGCTTCGTAGCGCCGTGCTCTAACCACTGCACTGTGACACCACCTTCCTTTACCATTCATTTATTTTTCTTTCTTCAATCCAATCGATGTCCTGATGGGAAAAAAAACGCATTGTCTGTATCATACAGTACAGGTTTGGTCTATATGCTTGCAATTCATTTGCAATGAACGAATTAATCGATTTGCAATATAAGAGCCTGTTTTATATTTTATTTCGCAGTACAATGCATTCTTTGAGTTCAACGATCGGTTGGAAGGCATCATGGACAAGGCATACATTTACAGGTAAACATTCTGCAACACGTTCACTTTTTAAATCCTTTATATTAAGTTCGCTTGCGTGCTTGCTTGCCTGCGTGCTTGCTTGCTTGCTTACGACCGTGCAAATCTTTCGGTCGTTTTTTAACCCACTTCCCGTGATCTAATCGAGCTGACATTTTGCACGACTTGCCAACACAACCGTAATGGAAACCTAATGTTTCCAGGGTAATAATGCTGAAACCTATTCGTGAATATTTACCTTTGATCTCAGTCTCAAATTGCAGTTTCCTCTATACAAATTATAAAACTGTACTATAATGTGACGTAAAGAAAAACGTAGAATTTCTATACATGACCGAGTGAAAATTATTTTAAGCATCACCAAATGTGACTGCACGATGAGTATTGAAGATAACCAAACCATGAATAAAACGCGTGAGCGATTTCGGACAGACACAACTATTTTGTCTTTATTATTGGGCAACACAACATTTTCTAGGTGTTTTTAAATCCTTTATATTAAGTTCACTTGCTTGCTTGCTTGTGCGCTTACGACCGTGCACATTTTTCGGTAGTTTTTTAACCCACTTCCCGTGATCCAATCGAGCTGACATTTTGCACACAGACTCGTTGTGCGTGACAATGTATTTTCGTGAAAAAAATTTTCCTAAATTTTACACTTTTTAAGAAAAAATAAATTATATTTAATTACCAATTGCTTAATGGTGGCAGCCATTCATCTGACCCATAGGTGACAGCCATCTCAAGCCAGAGGACGAGAGGACTCTAGCCGCCACGCATATAAAGGATTTATAGTGAAAAACTTTGTTTTTACGGGTTATACTTATTTACACTCGATATTTAAACTTTACTGACGTATTTGTAATCTTTTTTTTCAAACGGGACGCTGCTATGATGTAAGAGTTAAAACACTGAACGTGCTTTCCTGAGTTTATCAGTTCAGTCCCCCAACCCAGCAGTTGAACTATGGGCAGGTTTCTTAACTCCACTTTCCTCTGTCCACTCCCTGGTATAAACGGCTACACCACAGCAAGTCAAACAGCAGATTGCATGCGGTGAGGTAGAATGTGTGGGAATTCTCACCTCTTCCGAGACGTTTGCCCAGTATGGAAAAGTAGGCCAAAACACATTTTAGAGTAGGCTCTCTGGAGCCCCCTCTTGTGGAGTTCCTTCTGCCAGTTGTAGGGTCGGCAAGACATTTAAGGGACATACCTTTACCATCAGACTGTTTTGATCATGTGTGCGTGCTCGTGCTTATGTTTGTTCTAGAGTGATCCGGACTACAGGGTACCTGCTCTTCAGTTTACACCTCAACGCCTGCTTTTACTACTTCGTCTCCGATATGGAGGGACTGGGCAGCACCCGTTGGGTGTACAATGGCAAGGGCTACAGGTTAGTGGCCAAAATAGGGTTGCCACCTCTGAGATACAAAAAACTGGGACCTATCGGGGAAAAATGAAAGTCCCACTTTACCAGAAGAGGAGAAAATTGCATGTGAGCTGATTGATGGGTGGTGTATTATTAGACAACTGATACAAATCTGCAGTTAAGAGATTTTGCAGCACAGCTACCTCAAAATAAGTACAATCATTGGAAAAAAACAAGAGATGTGGCAACCCTTTGGTCTATTCCCGACTGCTTGTTAAAAGAGTCATCGCAGGTCAACACACTTCACAAAAAGTAAACTACCAAAGAATGATCGTGACATATAATCTGAAAATAAATACATATTTAAGTTATTTTGCTATCCTTTCCCATGTATTTTTGACTTGTACCGCGTGCTGTTCGACACGATGTCCGACGTATAAATCCACGATGCTCGGAGCTACTTCAGCAACTGAAATTCAGTTCTGAACAACATGAGACGCAACCCAAAAACACACGAGATAGACACACAGCGCAACCGTGAATATCTCCACGTGATCTTTTTTATGATCCCTCTGATCATCCACGGATTTTTTTTTGGGTGGATTTTTTTCACAGAGGTACGCCTTTTGAGACACACTTTCAAGTCTGTGCAGTTTGACAGTTTTTTTTTTTGGGTGCCACAGGAGAGCACCTCCTCTGTACACGTGACAATCCAGGCGACGGTGGATGCCAAAAGGCTTGCGCGCAGTGCAGGCGTGGAGCGATCGCGCGCGTGTGTGTGACCCTGTGGTGTCCGTCCGCCTGCCGCAGCTACCTGCGATGCTTTTTTTACGCGGAGAGGTCGCTGATGGTGATTGGGGACCTGCCCTACCCTACCAACGAACTCGAGTGGATCTTGCAGATGTTCAATTACTTTATTGGAGCCTTCATCTTGTCCTCCCTCCTGGGACAGGTACACTTTTTGTTACCTTCTCTTGTTTTTTCTTTTTCTTTTTGGCTTCAAAGAAGGTGTCGCACAGGACACAAAACAGCTCTCATCTTGTAAACACGTTACCTGGGCTGTGTGTCCCAGACTATTCTGCGCGAGTTTGAAGCCATGTTAACTTTGAACATGCAATTAATGTCACAGTCTGGAGCACTCTAGACATGCTACTGCAGTGATGATGCCAGAGTACTCTGAATCAGACATTTTAATGAATTTTTTGTCTGTAAACAAAACTTAAAATGCATGTTGAGCAGCCTGGGACACACAGCCCAGGTACATACATACAACATAAGAGGTATTGGTTATATGCATTGCACTGCTCTATTCGTGGATTTTTATTTGTAATGTTTCTTAAACCTTTTATTTTAATTCTGATTCAAATATTTTAATATAATCAAAGAACACTTGGACGTATTTTTCTGGTTCAAATTCGATTCAAGTGCTTTTTTTTATGAAAGACAAATTTTTGTTGGCTTTTTCTAAAAAGCATGATGCTTTGCAGTGGCGGCTGGTGATATTTATTTTTGGGGGGGCGCATTTTTTTTATTTTATTGAGGGGGGCAAATAAATATAAAGCAGTACCAAAAACCATTTTGACTACTTGAATATAAATTTTGATGATCTTTATTTACATTTCAGACCAAAAGAAGTACCAAAAAGCATGTTTCCTACTTGAACATAAATGTTTCTCTTTTATATACATTTCAGACCAAAGTACCAAAAAGCATGTTTCCTACTTGAACATAAATGTTTCTCTTTTATATACATTTCAGACCAAAGTACCAAAAAGCATGTTTCTTACTTGAACATAAAAACGTTAGTTTCATGCTATTATCAATATGGCTGCGGCTACTTTCATGACGTTTGCATTTGTCAGAGAGATGTTTGAGGTCTCTTACCCCCGTCGTTGTCCACAAAACTTCAGTGCCGACACTTTGAAATAAAAGACAGGGAAAACAAAAAAGAGAATTGCTAACATCACATCCAGCCAGCCACCTCCGTTTCTCATAACAAGCGCGGGTGAAGCTTCGTGTGTAGCTTCGTCCTCTGTCACTGGCCTGCTGCTGGATTTGTAAATCGGGTTGGTCCGGTCCGAGATCCTTTATCTTTTTTATTTCTTCCAGCGAAAGCCTTGTGAAAGGGTTTTTTTGTAAATAAATTACAGAATTTGGATGAACTGCTGCCATTGTTTACACAAAAAATTTGATCAGCCTAGCAAGTGTCAAAGTGGTGTCGCCTTCGCACTCGCAGTAGTGGCCTACAGCGTAAATTTGAATGACAGGTGACGAGAACCAATCAGATTGGATAAAATAACATGTATCCAATTCTGATTGGCCAGGGACGCAACGACTTGCGCCCCGAGGAGAATCTTTAAGAAACCAATTAGAGACCAGCTTCAGGTCACATGCTGTCCGAAAATGTAAAGTCTCACATAGACATCCATTTGTCCGGCGCCCCGCATGAAACACATTGAAAAACATAGAAAATAGTTGACCGATTAAAGCCAGTTTTTATTAAATGCTGATGCTTTTCTTACTACCAGCCGGCACATCGTATGAAAAAAATATTTTATTTATGTATTTTTATATAAATTTTGCATATGTATATTTCTTGAATATTGATGGGGGCGGCGCCCCTGCGCCCTCTATTGACGAGCCGCCACTGATGCTTTGATCTTGCCATTTTCTTCCTTTTTTCACCTCAGACGAGTATACAAATAGACTGAATAAATGCGGTTTTCAGTCAGTGCATATTGCCTGCTATAGATCACAGACAAGGGTAAGTGAAAAAAAACGGAACAGAAGTTTAAATGTTGCAGGGAAGCCTAAGGAGATGCACGTTCGGAATTACACCGCGAGACAGAAAATGGAAAACACGTGGATCAGATCCCAGAAATAAACGCAAAGTCGGGAAATAATATTAACTTAAGAAAAGTAAGTAGGCTTGTGCAGGGCTGGATTTAGGTGTATTTTCTCTCCCCGGTACACAGAGAAGAAACTGGCTGCCCCCCTCCCCTCCTCCCCTCACCTCACCACATGCACACACTCCCCCAATCCATGACATGCATTATTTTAGTTTGGTCCTTTGGGAGTTTTAGGCCCTGAACGAATGTCTCGTTCGCCCCTCCTTTAAATGCAGCCCTAGGCCTGGACAGGACACGTCGTTAAAAGGGAATAATGACAAACGGTCGAGACCGAGGGTGATTTGCCAGCCAAAGGTGCACGCCATGCATCGTGTTGGCCACCTAAGAGTTGGAGTGGTATATCGGATAAATGTGCAGAAGTTATCAGAATCAGAATATTTATTTATGCTGGAAGAATCCGATGAGCAATGAAGCTATTTTTGTACAGATAAGGGCGGGTCAGAACGTTACAACAACAACAAACACACGATGATAGTGCAAGTCTAGGAAATGTAAGCAAATTTCGAAAAAATGCAAATAAAACTAAACTATTTTTTATTTACCAGGTCAAGTCCACTGAGCTTGGTAGCTTTTTTTCAGAAGCGACTGACCACAAATGACAGCTCAACGAAGTGGCTTATCATGTGGAAATGTATAGCAGCCAAATACTCTAAACGCATGTTTCTAAATCTGGACGTAAAACCCGGAGGACCCACGTGACCACGGGAAGAACATGGCAACTCCAAATGTATAGACGTCGGGGTCTAAATCGAACCCACGATCTCCTGTATACCAGGCGAGGTAGTTAACATATAACTACCATGGCGCCCTGACTTAATCCAGCAGAGCATATTCATTTGCTGCTGCTGATGATGATGATTGGTAATTTATAAACTCCACAATTAGTTTGTTTCTTAAAAGTGCCGAAATTAGCTTAATGCACACTGAGTAATGGGCAAGAACGATTAACAGGAGGGTACAAAATTGATTGTTCATTCATTCATCACTGCGGTGGCCTAGTTACCATAATCAAGACGATTGATCTTTTAATCCCCGGGTAGAGTGACTTTATTACGTCACAACGAAAAGACAATTTGCTGCAGCATATACTACACAGATATAAAATCTCGACAAGGTCAAGTTGGTGCTCCTGATTCTAGACCAGCAATGTGAATTAATTTGGAAAACTCATGTCATGAACCAAACATATTTCATTGTAAATTCATACTTAGGCAGAATCCTGTTCAATGTTTTCAAATGTTAAGTACAAATATGTTTAACCTAATGGCATATTGGTTTTGCAAACAGATATTATCCAGCAGTTTAAACAAGCAAACTCTGGACCTTCCTTTACAGAGTTCATATATTGTATTTCATTGCCTTTTTTTCGCTCAAACATTATGACTTACTGCTACGTGTTCAATCATAACCCCGGTGAAATCATTTAATATTGTTATCTACAGAAGACTAACATTTCACACAGTTTAGGAGGTCAGGGCATGGGATTTGTTTTGAGAAATTATTTTATTAGTTTTACCTTGAAAAACTGCTGGGGTAATTGGTGTAAGTGTAGGTCAGACCGGTATACTATTTTGTGAAAAGATTACATCTTTTTGCGATGCCATGGCTGCAGTTGGAAGGCTGCCGCTGACAGACAACCCGCTTGTGATACCATAACTTGACTCTTAAATACCTAGGTTCAAAGTTCAAGGTTCCTCATTGCTGCCCCCTCCCCATGATAGTGGGCTACGAGACATTATCAGATTGTGAGCTGTCCTCAGAGGACGGCTTAAGCTCCATGTCCCTGCTTGCGGACAGACCCACATACAGTCTGCATTGGCTCTCGCTCTGAACGCAGTTGTGGGCCACTCAGCTTCGACTGGGCAGCCCTCTCTAGCACTGTATAAACTCGGGACTACCCCATTAACGCCATGACAGAATCACCATGAATCCAACAATGTTGTCAAATGTATCAAGCTAAGCAGCCCTTAGTACTTGATAGAGTGACCACCAGGGCTTAGCAGGTGTTGTAGGTGCGGGGCTGTGAAATGGCCAGGATATAACAATGCTGAGTGTTGGCCGACTCTGTTTACCACGTAACATCGCAAGATCTATAAACGTCCACTGTGAAACAGACGACACGGTTTTTTAAATCCTTTATATTAAGTTCACTTGCTTGCTTGCGCGCTTACGACCGTGCAAATCTTTCGGTCGTTTTTTAACCCACTTCCCGTGATCCTATCGAGCTGACATTTTGCACACAGACTCGTTGTGCGTGACAATTTATTTTCGTGAAATTTTTTTCCAAAATTTTCAACATTTTAGGAAAAAAAATTATATGTAATTACCAATTGCTTAATGGTGGCAGGCAATCATCTGACCCATAGGTGGCAGCCATCTCAAGGCAGAGGACGAGAGGACTCTAGCCGCCACGCATATAAAGGATTTATAGTGAAAAACTTTGTTTTTACGGGTTAATTTTTTGGTTTATTCTTCGTAAATACACCCGCAGTGTTGGCCACGTCAGCCGCTGGAATCTCTGCGGACAAGCGTGAAAACGTACAATCTCTCAGCCAACACATGGCAAGGGAAATCTGGTTTTAAACGTGGAACAGCCAGTGGGATATGGGCTATCCCTTTAAGGGGCCGCGTTGACTGCATCACTGGCTTCCCTGTCCAGGTATATCCGCTGCTATTACTGGGCTGTGAAAACTCTCATCACCATCGGGGGCATACCCGAGCCCAGCAACTTGATAGAGATCGTGTTACAGCTGTCTAACTACTTCTTGGGCGTCTTTGTCGTCTCCATATTGATTGGACAGGTATCGGCTAAATCCCATGGCATTACGACTCAAATCGTGTACAGAATACGCAAAGTCATCGCATGCGCTGTTGTTGCCTACATTTGTTCACCGTCACTTTTCCAAACACTGCACAGCATCGCCATGGCAAACTTACACCACCCTTAGCATGATGAACTCTGCTCACTGCACGTATGCGATACACTGAACCACGAAAATTCACTGTTATTATTGCGAAACTATAAGAAAACTCTTCTTGGTTCTTTCGGTAAAGTCACGTAGAAGGGAAGTAATAAAATAATAAAAATAAAACAATTAAAATAATTCTCACGACGTTTCGGCCACAACGCAAGTAGCCGTCCTCAGGTGAAACCAGGTCTGTCGAGGCGACAGCGTCTGAATGAAACAGCACCGTGCTTGCAAATTATTTTGTCAAGGCGCCCCCCCCCCTTCCAACCCAGCTTATATATATGCTCCAAGCACGTGTGCTGTTTCATTCAGACGCTGTCGCCTCGACAGACCTGGTTTCACCTGAGGACGGCTACTTGCGTTGTGGCCGAAACGTCGTGAGAATTATTTTATTATGTTTTATTTTTATTATTTTATTACTTCCCTTCTACGTGACTTTACCGAAAGAACCAAGAAGATGAATCCCTGCAGTCACGAACGCTTTAAATCGAAATATAAGAAAACTCTCAGATAACTTACATCACTGCCGTCATTTTTTTTTGGTCGAATGTGATGACTTCTGCAGCAAACGTACACGTTTAATTTGCCGATATAATGCCATGCAGCAATACCCCTTTTTTCCTTCATTCTCTTCCATATGTATGTATGTTCAACTTCTTTAGCACCGTACGTAGCCATCCCTGCTAATCGGAGACCGCTCTGAAATATATTAGGCAGAAAAAATGTTTCGACTTAAGCACTAAGCATACAAATTGTTTTACCTTGCGTTGTGTGCCATGAAACTGCGCGACGTTGGACTTAAAGTAACAACTGTGTACTGTGTTAATGAACTGCGAGACATACGTAGTGGTTATTCCATTGATTTATTCTTTCACATGTTTGTGCATAGCCTTTACCTTCTCTTTGCCATATTATCCCCTACGTTTGTCTAGTCAACTGCATAATCGTCTCCTGTGTGTAGTGTGCTCTAGCCTTCGACAACCCCCTCATGACTAAACCCATGAAAACAAAGCTAATTCGCCATTTATAGTTGTGCCTAGAATAGAAGCTGAAAACGCAGTATACGTACACTTTGTGGTGTTTGAAAGTTTCAATATAATGACAATATGATACGTATATAGCCTTGCCTTGAATACGGACCAATTTCTTACAAAATGGATCCTCGCTTATAATCATTGGGCAGTTCATCTGCACTGGGGCAAGCAAATCTGACTGCTGATGACACATTGAATGTCAAAACCAGTTCAGAATTTGCTTGTGTTGAACCAATGCTGCAAAGATGCATTTCCAGAAAACCGTGCGGCTGATGGCTTGTGTAGAAAAAAATCACTTGTATTTTCTCACGTAGAAAGAGACCAAATCGGAAGGCATTATTTAGCGTGCTTAATGACAATACGAGTTGCACGGCAGGTAAAATGCTCTCTGCACGCACAGCTCACCGTTCCTTAATCTCACCCCATGAGAACGCTTACCCCGAAGCAAGCTTTGCGTGAATGCCATGCAGCTGTCCCAGCGTGCTGTCCGCTGCATTGCGAGCAATCGGCGCGTGGCCTATGCCGCAGATGCGCGATGTGATCGGTGCCGCAACAGCGGGGCAGAATTACTACCGCGCGTGCATGGACAACACGCTGAGCTACATGGACACATACCACATCTCGCGCGCCGTGCAGAACCGAGTACGCATGTGGTACGAGTACACCTGGGCCTCCCAGGGCATGCTGGGTAAGTCACCACACCCCACCATTTATTTATCTATAGATGTATCTGTTTGATTGATTATATCCATAATTGTTTGTATTATTCAATTTAAAGCAGTGTTTTTCATATGAAAGAGAACTAGACTGTTGAGGAAAATAAAAAAAACTCAACGTCCCATACAGTAAAGTTCATGAACCCACTTTCTGAACTGGCAATTCATGGCCACCTTGCAGCCCAACAGGTTTGGGAGTTTCAAACACATCTGTGATCCAACAACCCTTGCTAGATTACAGGGGCCCACCTGGCATCAATGCTCAACATCCGCAGATTCCTCAACAATTTTTTGTCACAAAAAGAGCAGTACATTGGTTTCTGAGGTCCCCACAAGCGAATGTAATAGACCACTTATGCATGTGGCCTGACGTGTTTAAAGATGATTGTGGCTCATTTACATGTAAAGCATTTTCACAATTTGCCCAGCAAGAGATGATATTGTCAGACCTGTTCGTATAATCCAACACTCTTCATTAGTTCGATTCATTTTCAGGAATTTCTGCATTTAAATGAAACAAGTGAAATTGTGACTTGATATATCAAACTACAGCAGAGGCAGTGCGGCAAACATCCATTGCTCTATCTTAATTTTGGAGCTTTCGTGACTGCAGGAATTATTCTTTGGTTCTTTCGGTAAAGTCACGTATAAAGATAAAATAATAAATTAAATAATAGCATACGACGTTTCGATTGCAACACAAGCAATCATCATCAGGTATAATGAAATAGCAACATAAAATCTAACCAGAAAACTATAGACAGACATATAAGCAGACAGACATCACCAAGATACACAGAGAGAGAGCAACACAGGTACAGAGAGGGGTGATCGTCTCTGTGGGGTGGCCTTAAATAGACAGAGGGGGGCAGAGGCAGAGAGAGGGAGGGGTTAGAGAAAAAATTTACATGTCAATGAGTACGAAGAGACGCGTAGTAAAGTACGCTTATATGTCTGTCTATAGTTTTCTGGTTACATTTTATGTTGCTATTTCATTATATCTGATGATGATTGCTTGTGTTGCAATCGAAACGTCGTGTGCTATTATTTAATTTATTATTTTATCTTTATACGTGACTTTACCGAAAGAACCAAAGAATAATCCATTGCTCTACTGTACCGTGCTCCAACATCTATACTCCCTGTATTCACAATCTGCAACGACCAGCGTGGTGAAGTATGGTCAAATAACCATCACAATCCGCATGGCGTGGAGAGGACCTCATTTAGCGGTGGATTGACGAAAGGGGCTGTACACCTACATATAATATTAAAATAATAACGCCACAGACAACTCGTGACCTCTACTCCAGGTTATTCACGATGTCTTAAGAGACTTTTTGGAAGGCAATGCAAGTACGTTCTTACCTGAGTGGACAAGGTTGGAGCAGCAAATCGCCACACTCAGTCGCCTTCTGCCTTTTCATGAACTCATTTCACGCCAAGCTGACCTCAGCTGAGCCCACAGCTGCACAGGACAATTGAAATGAAGTGTCGTTGTAAATTTGGAGGTCGACAGCAACAATGGAAGCCAGATGACCGTGTTAAAAATGTATTGCACTGATGACCAATCCGCTCTTGACATTACGTACAGAAAAAAAGGCATGCAAAACTAATTTTAATTGGCATGCATTTCCACTAATTAAATACCAGCATTTATGTTAAGCCACTCTTGAAGCCTTTTATGCAGAAACATGTGAGTACTTGTGTTATGCCCATTATTCCCACCCACCGTACATCTGCCCATTTCTTCTCCTCTCCCCGCCAACGTGTTTACCAATTAATATATGCATGAAAGGTATTTCAACCAAATTGATCGTTGAATGTATATGGGCAAACGTGGAAGCATGAAAAAAGGCTCGCGTACTGAGGCTTGAACACCCAAGGTCTCCCTCCGGGCGTGTATCATCTACGCTCACTGGCCCACGTGATTAAACGTGAGGGACATGCTCACAGTGGGTGAAGGAGGGGCAATTGCTTCCCCTGGACCGAGTCTTGTGCCCGGCAGCTGCCCCCCCTCCTCCCCCCCAACTAGTGAGCATTTTACGTGAAGCGTTTATCATTGCTGGGGGGGGGGGGGGATGATTGTGCCTCCCTCTCACATGGTACCCCTCCCCCCCCCCTCCATGGATGCACTAAACAGCTTGACATTATCTTGGGCACACAATGTATGAAATGGTCGACGGGCATCAATTGCCAGGACTTCAGCAGAAAAATTGTGCCGCCTTCAGCGAGTCCGAACGTGGCTTAAAGCTTTCGTGTCTGCGATAATTTATATTCGTTGGGTCTTTCGGTAAATTGACGTAGATAGAATAATAACAATACAAAATAATTCAAATAAAGTGAATAAAAAAATAATAATAAATAATAATAAATATTTTTGCTCACTTTATTCTCATTTATTATTTGTATTATTTTATTGTTATTATTTTTTCTATCTACGTGACTTGACTGAAAGACCCAAAGAATATGAGTCCTAACATCCCAATGGGGAGGAGTGATTAGTGCTCATTACATTTGAGGAGCTCTACTCACAACAACAACAACAGCAACAACAACGTAACCGATTCTAGATTTGAAGCTTTCGTGACTGCAAGGATTCATATTCTTAGGTTTTTTCGGTAAAGTCACGTAGATAAAAAAATTTAATTAATAAAAGTAAAATAAAAATTAAATAAAAATCACGACGTTTCGGAGGCAACACAAGCTTCCATCTTCAGATGGAACCGTCACAGCACGATTGCTGTATCAATTGAGAGAAATTCCAAGAACACAGTATTTGTATATATACTGGTTGAGGGTGGGAGGAGCCAAGGTAGGCCCTGAATATTATTTTTGTGAGGTTCGGTGCGGCTGAAACACGCTGTTAGGAACGTAACCGATGTTGCACTGGTGTGCAGACGAATCCGAGCTCCTCGAAAAGCTGCCCACCAAGATGAGGCTGGAGATCGCTATCGACGTCAACTACACCATCGTCAGCAAGGTGGCCCTCTTCAAGGTGATTCACCCAATTGTCAGCGTCTCCCCACAGGACTTCCCGCATTGCCACATCACACTACGCGCTAACGCAGTCCCCCAGGTGTGCCGATACGGAATCGTGCACCTGTGGTTGACATTCTGAACCCCGTGCGAGGTGTCCCGCTAACGCCTCGACGCAATGCTCAGCACTTTCGTTGCCAGGTACACATTCCGACACTGCAATTGTTAAGATTCGCGAATAAGCACAGCGGGTCGCATTCTAAGCTTTCACACAATTGTACATACATTTAGTTTTACCGTGTGCTGCATCCCGCATTATAGCAACAATGCGCTGTTGATATTCAAGACAAGTGAAAGTAGATTGCTGTGAGGTTAAAAGCGTGGTGTGAATTGAAGCACACGCTGAAACCGCGGCCTGTGAGCGCATCCCCTGTACAATCACTGTGTATACACACCTGTGCGTGTGTGCGTGTGTGACACACGCGTTCACAAGCACCGATTGCCTGCTGTCCCAAGGGCTGTGACCGGCAGATGATATTTGACATGCTGCTCAGGCTCAAGTCTGTGGTCTACTTGCCCGGAGATTTTGTCTGCAAGAAGGTACGACATTTGTTTTTTTTATATATCAGTATCTACTTGGTATCCGATATATCTCATGTTTGCAGTGGTCAAGCTGCGTCGACAAGAACATACGTTGAACGTGGTTAACTTTGGTGGAGCTGCTCACTAACAGTATTTACAAAACACTTAGCAAACTTTGGACTTATCATATTCATCATCAGCCATGATCATTCTACTGCTGGATGAAGGCCTTCGCCCGCACCTCTGATTAGTACGGTTGGCTATGTACGGTGCAAAAGAAGTTCAATATGCATACGTCTTTCAGTCTTGTGATGCAACAATTCACCGATCACTTGCACACGTGATGATGCTATCACTCAATCTCAGTTGCGTTCTCTTCTTTCTCTGCGACTCCATCAATAGTTTTGACCTCTGGCCATCATCCCTTCAAGTGAAGCATCCTGCTGAAGCCCGCTTAATTTTATTAAATGTTTTTTGACAATAAATGCGATGTCTATGAGTTGCATGTGTCCTCTGTACATTCCTGTTTGTGTCTGTCATTGTTATTCCAGGCATGCATCTCGCTGTGCCACTTTGTATATTTTTAAGCTTTTGTTCCATTCTCTTTGTCACTCTGTGTTCCCAATACGTACGTTTATAAACATGTGCCTGGGTGTGCATGTGATTGTGTGTCATGCACGTGTGTGAATTCAATGCAGTGGTTAGTGCACTGTGCTATAAACCCAGTGAACTGAGTTGGGTGACGAATATCTGAACCGGTCCTGGATCTCCGCTAGCACTTCGAAATTAGTACATGGTGCAGTTTATAAACATTTGCACTGGGGAAACAAAAACGGCCGGGAGTGGTGTTGGCCACCATTCTGGCTTTCACAGGTGCTCGCCAACACAACTTGCCCCAACAGTTTGTTAAGGCCATGGGGGGGGGGGAGGGGAGATCTTTGTCTTTATCTATGAATGTGAATGTATGTGCACAGGGCGAGCTTGGGAGAGAGATGTACATCATCAAGGCAGGAGAGGTGCAGGTGGTTGGAGGGCCTGATAACAAGATCGTGTTCGTCACACTACGAGCCGGCTCCGTGTTCGGAGAAATCAGGTAAAAAATTGTAAGAGGATTTCTTAAGCCACTTAAGGGTTCCACTAAGTAATTAATCCTATCTTGGCCCAATGCTCTAAAAGACTATACAGTATGGCACGTTAATTTGTGATATGTGCTGTTCCAGGTCTGTGACTCTGAAAATATTTTTACACCAGGCTCACCACATCCAGTATACCACTTGCTATGGCGATGGTTACTTGTAATGTGCCTACTCCAGTCGACCAGCGAACCAGTAAATATTCAGCGAGGAAATAAACCCTGGAGCTTTTCTCTTTACATTTCAATGTACACTTTTTTGGGGTTAAAAGCTAAATTGAAGACATACCATATTTGGCTTACCTGCCCAAGGTAAAATTAAAGAATTGGATATATGTGCACGACTTGCCAACACAACCGTAATGGAAACCTAATGTTTCCAGGGTAATAATGCTGAAACCTATTCGTGAATATTTACCTTTGATCTCAGTCTCAAATTGCAGTTTCCTCTATACAAATTATAAAACTGTACAATAATGTGACGTAAAGAAAAACGTAGAATTTCTATACATGACCGAGTGAAAATTAAGCATCACCAAATGTGACTGCACCATGAGTATTCAAGATAACCAAACCATGAATAAAACGCGTGAGCGATCTCGGACAGACACAACTATTTTGTCTTTATTATTGGGCAACACAAACATTTTCTGCGTGTTTTTAAATCCTTTATATTAAGTTCACTTGCTTGCTTGCTTGCGCGCTTACGACCGTGCAAATCTTTCGGTCGTTTTTTAACCCACTTCCCGTGATCCAATCGAGCTGACATTTTGCACACAGACTCGTTGTGCGTGACAATTTATTTTCGTGAAAAAAAAATTCCCAAATTTTCCACTTTTTAGGAAAAAAACATTTTCATTTTTAATTTAAAATACCAATGTGATAAAAAATGAAACTCTTACTCAAGAAAAACAGAAATGAATAATAAAATAAAACCGATGCCACGCATATAAAGGATTTATAGTGAAAAACTTTGTTTTTACGGATTAATTTTTATTTACACACTGCAGAGTAGAATCAGCGTCACTGTGGGGCTGAGGATGCATATCTGGGTTCACGCACTCTGTCTCCCTCTTGAATCGCTATAATTACGCTGCGTGTGGCTTTGCAGCCTTCTGGCGGTTGGAGGTGGGAACCGCCGCACAGCTAACGTGATGGCGCACGGATTCGCAAACCTCTTCATCCTGGATAAGAGAGACTTAAATGACATCTTACGCATCTACCCCGAGTCGGAGAAGCTGCTTCGCAAGAAAGCCAAGTATGTGGGCGGTCATCCAAGCTTGCCTCTACACACTCACAGATGTACTGCCGTCTGTCTGTTCTACGCTTAAGAGTTGTGCTGGCCAGGTTAAACTGATGTGTCTTTTTCGATTTAAAGCTTTCGTGACTGCAGGGATTCATCTTCTTGGTTCTTTCGGTAAAGTCACGTAGAAGGGAAATAATAAAAATATCTTATTATGTTTTATTTTTATTATTTTATTATTTCCCTTCTACGTGACTTTACCGAAAGAACCAAGAAGATGATGTGTCTTTGTTTAAAATGCAGCACCAGTCGAATAATAGTTGAAGACGATGATTTTAGTGGTCATAATGATCAGAATACCGTATGTGTTTGCCTAAAATTATGATTGGCAGCCCAGTTGACAGTAATGAGAAATATAATTACATTTTAGATCAATTAGTCATTATTTTTAGATTGCAATTTATGTTTAACCTAAACCTCGCTAAATATATAATAGAGCTCCTCTTATCTGCGGCGAGGTGGGGTCAAACATCGTGGACCCAATAGTCAACTGTGTTATCCATGAATTTATTCCACTTATCCACGGAAAATATTCATTATTAATTTCGGATAATCAAGAGCATAGTGCTGTTCATCATAATAATACTGGTCGCGAAAGCCTACGTGTGAAACTGAGCATAGTGCTGCCAATAATAGCAGTTTTCACCGACCCTACAGCTTTCTCAGGTGTTTTGAATCAGAGAGGAGTTCTACTGCATCATGTGACTATTCTTCTTTCGAATGGCAGGACAGAATGTGATTGCGTGCATCTGTCTGTGTGTGTCTCAGGAAGCTGCTGTCAAAAGACCAAAACAAAAATGCTGAGCCAGCACCTGTGGCCCGGGGTTTTGCAAGCATCTTCCCAGAGAAACCAGTGACACCCAAATTTCTGCATCTGATTGCATTGATTTCCCGAAAAGCAGCAAAGGACAAAGAAAAGTAGCCAGAATCTCGCCTCCAAATTTGCCATAATAAATTTTACCCTTTCCAACTGAGGTTGAAAGCATTAATGTATTAGTTACGTCCATCTGTCTATCTGTAACTTGAGGTCGGGATCACTCCTGTTAAGATGATCCATTATAAATGAAATGTTATTATTGAGTTGTGTTGATACTAGGGGATTGCCATAGAGAATACTGGGCATATTGGTCAAACGGTTGTCCAACACTTGACAATAATCACGAAAAATGATAAAATGCATAGGCCTTCTCACGTGGTGATAACGCCATATGCCACCCACATGTATTCTGATAATGAATGTTTCTGATACATTTTTCATAGCCAGTTCTACGCATTAATAAAAAAAATACTTCTGAGGATAAACTTGTTGGTAAGTATTAAATAATTAAAGTGGGCGCATGATTTTTCTTGTTGTCATAAGCATATGAATGCCTATAATTGTTCCCTGTTTATAAGCGCTGTTGTTACAGTGTTGCTAATGAATGAAGTCATTTTAAGCGTACAGTATACCTAATTATTTTTGCTTCTTTGCTGTAATGTTTCAATTTGTCATTTGGTATTCTAGGCCACTCTTGCAAATCTGACTCTCTATCCTGTTTTCTTGAGTTTTCACCTGGTCTAATAAATAACTTTGACTTGACTTCTACCTGACATTAATAGCAAAGGCCACTTGTTCTTCCTAAACATGTATTGACAAAGGAAGCACATTTTTTGAGTCTATGAGAATCTACAGCCATGACTTCAAATTCCAGTGATTTGTTGAGCTCAAATCCCCATTTGCAACGTAAAAGTAGCCCTTCATATTCTTAGGTTTTTTTCGGTAAAGTCACGTAGGTAAAACATTAAAATTAATAAAAGTAAAATAAAATAAAAATCACGACGTTTCGGAGGCAACACAAGCTTCCGTCTTCAGGTGGCTTTACCGAAAAAACCTAAGAATATGAATCCTTGCAGTCACAAAAGCTTCAAATCTAGAAGTAGCCCTTCATCTCTTTTGATCTCTCTGTTGTTGATAAATTGAGCATCACTTTGAGGAAAGCTAACAGTGGTGTATAGCACACACCTGTCGTCCACAACTTTGAGAAGAAATTAGTGTATATGTTGGGATGCTGCCTTGGGGAAATGGTTGGCACACTGGACTTGCATTCCAGAGGATGCACGTTCAATCACCCGGTATGGCAGCTAACAATGACGAACGTTTCTTAAATCCCCCACACCTCTGTCCACCCAGCAATATAAATGGGTTCACCAGAGTCGATTGGCCGGTCGTGTATGTGAGGGTAAAGCGTGGGTTCTCACAACTTTTCCACAACATCTGGCCAGCATAGAAGAGGAAGTCAAAATACCTTCCATCAGGGTTCTCATAGCTACGTCTTGTGGATGCCCTTCCACTAGCAGTGACATTAGCAGGAATTTTCAAGGCTGCCATTTATAATGTTTACACTGTATTGGTTTTCCTGTGGAGTGGCTGTCTTAGCTCTAGGAATGTGGAATGTTTCCCATGGCTCAAAAACATGGTAATTAGCGCCACCCCATGTTCAGGTGAGGGTTATACACATTTGGTTTGTAACTTTTTGTGAATGCCTCCGGACGACAATGAATCATTTAGATTCATAACGTCTCACGGGAATTTATTTCAATATTTATCTTTATTTTAATAATGAATTTTCTTTAATTATAATCATATATAGCAGAATATTTAGGAGGCTATAAGCCTACGGACTACATATCCTGGAATGCACCCGATCTCGTCACATCACCATAATTGATCGTGTATCTTGCCTGACAGCGCGACGAGCATGCACAACAGTTTTACAGGCTGTGACGCTACTTTTTGGGCAGATGGCAGTGTAGCAAAATTAGTTGGAGAACTGTCCTTCTATGCTCCCAAATCTGAGCTCCCCACCTTCACAAACCTGGCCAGGATAGTGGTGAAATATGGCCAAATAACCCCCACGTTCCATGCCAGTGTGCAGAGGCCCTCACCCAGCAGTGGATTGACAAAAGGGTTGCACATGTAAATGTGAGATGTTCCATGTAACATTTTTTAACGTTTATGATTTTTTCTTCTTAAATTTTTGTGTCTCTCTGACATTAAAACGTTAACAGTATAATATGCATTTTTGGCAATTGTGCTGACACACATCTTGTAAAAAAGAAATGGAATCAGAAAATATGAGTTTCATTGATTTATTATTATACAATCCCAGAAGTTCTGAAAAAAGAAAACTAAACATGCATTTGTGAAAGCTTTATTTCTATGGCGATGGATGACCCCTGTGGTTAGTCCACCTTAATTGGGGCCGTCCATAAATGACGTCATGCACCTGGGGGGGGTCAGACATTTGTGACGATGTTTGACGAGGGGGGGGGGGGTTGAGAAATGTGACGTCACCTCAAAATGCGCAACTTTAAATGAATATAGACAACACGTTCTACTTAATTAAATATACTTTTTAATAAATGTTTCCTCCTACAACATCAGAGTGCAGCGCCACATTAAATACGCACGACGATGACAATAGTTTAAAGCGATTTGAAGCGTCTTTTATTTTCAAAATGGAAATATGGTTTTGGGGGGGGGGGGGGGCAGAGCTTTGTGACGTCATATTTGAGGGGGGGGTCAGACTTTTTGTGAACCGTGTGACGAGGGGGGGGGTCAAAAATCGTCCAAAATCGCGTGACGTCATTTATGGACAGCCCCTTTTACCAAATCACCCGCAATGCACCCCATCTCATCGTATCTCTGAAGCTCGTCAGGGTTGAGCGTGGATAGTGCTTGGGTGTAATGGATAGTGCTTATAACATTGGTGACGTTGCACGGCCAGGCTAGCGTGGGGAAAAGGCCTGGGCAGGCTGCCAAGTCAGTGGCGGGCAGCAGAGGGCAGTCGGGAGGCCGTCGTCCATCGACATCATCAATCACGGGATGAAACGGAAGGGTTTTCAAAACCCATTCCCATCAATTTTCGTGTTCGGCTTACTGTGTTTCATCGTCCAATGCAAGAAAAAATAATAAATGTACTCGTGGAAATGTATTTGTTGAAACATTTGTAAATAATTATAAAATAATATTTTCTTTAAATGTTATGTTGGATGATGAAATCCATTGACAACTTTGCATGCATACAATTTGTAACCTTGGCAGGAGCTCAATTGGAAATTTTCTTAAACGCACGTGGCTTCAGTGAAATGCACTTGGCCATGACTTTTGGAAAGTTACGTCATCACGTTAATCAAGTTATGACGTCAGAGCTAAAGCCACGGCCAACACGCACCGTCTCTGATCCCGCGTCGGTGTGACGTAATGACGTAAACCGCGTTAACAGCCACGCCCTGTGTGTGCGTCATCACGTTGAGGTTAAGCCACGCCTTTATGGTATCACCCTCACGATCAGCTGCAACAACGTCATGACGTAGCCCGCTTACGTCATCGCGTCGATGCCAAGCCACACAAACCTCCGTGCGTCACGTTCACGACGGGCGGGTGGACACGACGTCATTTCTGTCCAATCACAACGCACGTCTGGCATTCACACGACGTCATCTCGCGGTACAAGTAGGACCCACCCACCCACCGACCCGCGTGCAGCAAGGCCGTGTGCGCTCTTGCCACCCACCACCCTCCACGTCCCACACGCGTGTGCCCTCCTCAGTCTCCATCACCACCGCGTCTCTGCGGGTCTCACGCACGCAACGCGAAGCGACCAACCAAATGGCGGCGCTGCGCAAAGGATTCACGGCCTCGGCTCTGGGGCGACTGCCTCTGCTCAAGGTCGCCCCGGCCGCAGCAGCCAGGGCGAGGTGAGGACCGCGACCCGCATCGCCGCGGTGGCGGTGAAAATCGTTGCGATGTCCACGAGTTTTTGTCCACCCCCCACCACCCCCCGTGATTTGCTCGTGTAACGATGTCACTTGGGGCCCGTTTTCAATCCACTGCTGGATGGAGAGGGCCCTTCCCGAGGCCTCAAGGTCGTTGCTGGGCCAGGCTTGGGCACGCTGCTGCAGCGCCGATCGGGCAATTTGTTAGAGCCCCAGGGCTGGGGCTTGGGGTCGTTAACGTCGCATAAAGAGTCACAATGAGACGTAGGGGACCCCACCGTATTAATGCATATACAAGGACCGCGATGCAATAATGTTAATATGAACCATAACTCTGTAAAGACAAGTGAATGCCACAATATCATTCAATAACACAAATTTTGTTCCTGGGTTAGTAAGTGTTTTTTCGTAATTGCTTATGCCTAAAAAGTACAGAAATGGCTATTATTCCCCAAAAACTTTGCTTTTGGGACCAGGACAGTGATATTTTAAAATGTACCTATTTTCAATGAGAAAACGGGCGAATTTGGGTATTTTAGTTAACAAAGTCAGAAAAAAAACATGAATTAAAATGTACATGTATTTATACTAAAGTAATACACAAATAACTACAAGAGATTTAGAAGTGAGTAGTTTTTTCGAGATTTACGATTATATTGTAAATTACTTTAACGAATCAGCCCCCAAATGTAGTCTCCCATCATGTTCTCATTATACTGTCCTTGGTAGCGACGTTCAAAGTCCAGTATATCCTGGTGTAAGTGCTCGCCTTGCCCCTCCGAGTACGCTCCCATGTTCTCCTTGAATTTATCAAGATGAGCATCAAGGATATGGACTTTGAGGGGCATCATACAGCCCATTGTGCCATAGTTCTTCACCAGTCTCAACCAGCTCCACATAGTTTTCGACCTTGTGATTACCCAGGAAGTCACGAACCACTGCGGACAAAGCTGTCCCAAGCCGCTTTCTCCTTACTAGTGAGCTTCTTGGGGAATTCATTGCACTCCAGGATCTTCTTTATCTGTGGTCCGACGAAGACACCGGCTTTGACCTTTGCCTAAGACATCTTAGGGAAGAAGTCTTGAAGGTACTTCAAGGCTGCCGACTCCTTATCTGCAGCTCTGACAAATTGTTTCATAAGGCCCAATTTGATGTGCAGTGGTGGTATCAGCACCTTCTGGGGGTCCCACCAGTGGCTCCCACTTGACGTTGTTCCTCCCCAAAGAGAACTCGGTCTGCTGTGGCCAGTCCAGCCTGTGGTAGTGCGCCTTGGTGTCCCTGCTGTCCCTAAGGCAAAGATAGCAGGGAAACTTGGTAAAACCGCCTTGGAGGCCCATCAGGAATACCACAATTTTGAAGTCTCCCATAACCTCCCAGCCGTACTCATCATACTTCAAGGCGTCCAGCAATGTCTTGATGTTGTTGTAATCCTCTTTGAGGTGCACCGAGTGAGCCAGGGGAAGAGATGGGTACTTGTTACCATTATGGAGCAGCAGAACGGCTTTGAGGCTCCTGGATGAGCTGTCAATGAAGAGGCGCCACTCGTTCTAGTTACAGGCGATTCCGATTGCCTCGAACAGACTGGTCACATTGTGGCAGAAGCAGAGCCCATCTTGACGGGTGAAGAAGCTGCAAAAAGGTTGGTGACGCTTCCTCTGATCTGCGACTTGCGCACTTTTATTCAACAAGTTCCACTGCTTGAGCCTAGATGTCAAAAGCTCGGCATTGGACTTGGTGAGACCAATATCTCCGATCAAGTCGTTGAGGTCTTTTTGGTTGGGGTAGTATGGGTTTTTCTCCTCAGCTCCACCTCTGAAATTGTCATCTGCATCTACAACGTCTTCCTCACCCTCTGACTTGCTGCTCTCTTCTAAAGATGGACGCTCTCTTTCCGGAGGAGTGGTTACAGGGAGCTCATGGCAGTGTGGCACCGGGGCGATGGATGAAGGAAGGTCCAGATATGTGATGGCAGCTGCATTATTGCCAGTCCGACGTTTGGAAGGGTCCATTATGGATAAGTGGCTGTTGCTTGAGTGGTCAGTGGGTTCCTGCCAAATTCTTGGAATAGCGAACTTCATGGCTCTCTTTTCCCCTCTGTACCATCCGATAAAAATACAATTATTTCACCCATGACTAATGTTTAAGAGATTCTCGCAACATTTTTCATATATACTATATTTTTTCAAGAACATTGAAAATTGTAATTTAAAAATGTTTAACTTGTACAATTATTTTTTTACTAATTTTATAACATAAAATTGTTCATCTTACCTTCCAGAGTTTTTTTGCATTGCTCGCAGGTGAATTGAGATGCCCAGTTTTTGTCTTGATCCCTGATAGGCATGCCGAAATATGCCTTGTAGGCGTCGCACATCTTAGCAGATGCTTGTCGAGTACTTTTTCAATCGTGTCTTGATTAATTGGCTGCAGACAGAGCAAAATGCATCTGCCAGATGCTTGCAGCCTCTTGACACCATCTCAGAAAAATACAGATATGTATCCACTTAGGCAGCTGGAACTAAACTGAACTGGTAGGCTTAAGGCCTTTGTATTTATACTACTATTTATATTACTGGAACGTTCTAGAATGTTCTAGAAGTTACTCCGAGTTTAGTCCGCACTGAATATATCTGGAATGTTCTGGAAAATAGATAAATTTCTAAATATCATTGTCCTGGTCTCAAAAGCAAAGTTTGTGGTGAATAATAGCAATTTTCTGTACTTTTGAGGCATAAGCAATTAGGAAATAACACTACACAGGAACAAAAAAATTGGTCCACAGTGGAATACAGCACCATGTACTGTAGTGTACGGTACAGGGATTACCATAATCCCTATTCCGTACACTACAGTACATACAGAGGGACCACTGTACAGGAAACGACCTATATCGCTCTAGAGGACTGCTTGAGCCCACCATACGGTAAATACACAGTATAACACGTGCCACAATACAACACGGGGATAATGCAGCTCCGTACAGGGACCACATCAGTAGGGCATTCATTAGAACTGAATACCCTATTGATATTCGTGTACAATTACCATGCGCCGTTCTGAATGCACTAGTGAACTGGTGTGCACATTCGTACAATTAACATGCAAACTACAGTTCTATTTGCTCTAATTAGCTCGTGTGGACTTGCCATCTAAATGTCCAACTGACCCAGTATTGTAATGGCGAGAGCATATAGTAAACTTTTATTCCATGCACTATACGCATTTTAATGCATATACATTTGGTTTAAAATATAGCGCAGTTTCTGCTTGCTTGGGGGTGACCTCGTTTTGCCTGCCAATAAATGCAACGTGGTCACCTTGCCAGTGCTGCTAATGCGATTTCATAGACTGAGCAAATCTTCGGATGTGCAATGTGGGTTTATTCAAACCAGGCTGGGCGTTTTTTTTTCCTGTTTAACTATTATCCAAGTCGGTACACAATAGTGCTATTGATTGTTTATTACACAATTGGTTGTTTATGGTAAGATTACTAATTCAGCATTGATGTTCAGTAAAAAATGGAGAGGCCGAGGCTGAATGATGCAGACGTGTAGTATTGCATTACACAAACGTGTCCTTGAACAAGATAGAAGCGTTTAAAAATAAAACCAAGCATTGACAACGAGCCCCCATCAACCCAACATATTTTGCATTTCGGAACTGTCATTAACCTTCTTTTAAACTCAGTGGTAAGGAAGATTGGCAACGTGGTAACTGTACAAGTGCACCCACAGTCAACTGATAACTTGATTACCGTATTTATTACGCACATAAATATGCAGTTTTGTTATCCAATTAATATTTGTAAAGAATTAAATATACCAGGGCTTTAATTAAATTGGGATTTTCCCACACCAGGTTTACACACTTAAGCAGATTGTTTGACGAAAGTACATTGTTAACGTGTGCATGTTCCTTAAAATTCAGTTATGGGTTAAAAAAAGTGTTCAATTGCCCAGCGTCATCCATATGGTCGGTAATGTGAGCACTCTGGTAATGAAAACAGCACCATTTTCTGTGGGGAATATGAAGGTCATGTTAATAATAATCCTGCCCCCGCCCCCCCGTCTTAGTAACATGGCATTTTCAACAGTGTCTCTGGACCATTATTTTAGATGAGTACCACACCCACCAGCCCATTTGGACAGCACGACACCCTATCACTGATAAGTCACGATTATATTATATGGGCAACGAAAATGGCATCAAAAGAGATCATCGCAACATGTTAAGCAAAAATAGGGCGGCACGTATGATTAGATGCCTTTTCTTGCTACTAAAGTTGTCGCTCATTGATTCCTCGACTCTTGAGGACTCGGTTTAACCGGTCTTTTTTCATCTCTTCCACACTTGTGTTCAACTGCACTTACTGCGTGACTTTGGAATTCCCTCGCATCTCTTTATTCCAAGTTCTTATAACCTTCGTGCAGTCAAGCTAACGTACTAGGTTGTGTCTTTTTTTGGGTAGCTGGCCACTTTGCGTTGTTGCAACTTTTGTGCCTGTACTCTGCAACCGTTATTTAAAAGGGGGGGTGGGGGGATCAAAACAAATATCTAGCCAATCTTCTTTGGTTTTGTGGCAAGAGAAGCTAGGCATCGAATTTGCTGCAATCGTGCAAAGCGGTCAGTCAGCATGGGCGGCACGCGCCAGGCACTTGGGGAGCTCTCGCACCGACCTGGAGGAGGTGGCCGTGACGCGGGCAAGTGTGACCGCGTGTTGGGTACCTTGACAGAGGAGACTTTCCGGCGACCTTGAAGGAGGTTTTTTTGTTTTTTTCCGCAGCTATTTTCATACTAACGTGCCCACGCACCCTTAGCCTGCGTGGTGTGGTACTTTACGTCGCCTTCGTGTTATAGATGCAGAGCAACAATAATTTTTCACACTTGGAACCTCATTTGCCAGAAGAGAAAATATGATAATTGTTTTTTTACCCTTTTATCTGACAACAAAACTGACACCTTTTTTTTACAAGGAGTCATGTTTGCATAGACCACAATACCAGCAGTCATAATACAATAGTAATACATTTCAATTGCTTCCATGTTATTGGAGGAGAGGTGGATATGGGAAAGACATACTGCTTATTTATTTTCCCTATTTATAGTGATGTGGATTAGGTTATAGAGCACAAACGTGAACATAGTATGATATAGTAGGAAAATACTACTTTTTCCAATTTTTAAAATGTTATCTCTCCAAGGATCAGCCCACCCTGTGTATCATTTTATATATTGCTTCATTTTTCTCATTTCGCCCGTGAGTGACGTTTCCTGGTAGGAAATCACCTTTGCGAAAACTTAATTGAATTGAATAATCGATTTAAAATTTTATTTTACAGACTATGGACCCCAAATAGCTCTCAGCCTCATTATTCGGATTCGGCATGCTATACTGTATTTGCCCCAAGGGCGCAGTGATGCAGAGAGATGCATAACGCGTCCTCAAATGTCAGCATTGTGTTTGATCGTTTTTATTGAATGTTGGCGTTTTTCAGGGTGAAAATGTGTCGCACTTTACAGCACCATAAATACCAGTGTTGTATTTGAAATGGTGATTTAATGTTTTGTCCCACGACAAACCTTTTTAAATCTTTTATATTAAGTTCACGTGCTTGCTTGCTTGCTTGCTTAGGACCGTGTAAATCTTTCGGTCGTTTTTTAACCCACTTCCCGTGATCCAATCGAGCTGACATTTTCCACACCGACTCGTTGTGCCAGACAATTATTGTTCGTGAAAAAAAATTCCCAAAGTTTTACACTTTTTAGGCAAAAAAAATGTATTTTACATATATTCAAATAGAACTCATTCATGGCTTTGGCTGAACGTCAGAGTGTAAGAGCCCAGAGCGTAACCCCTCCACAGGCCGTGGTGGAGTAGCGCAGTTGGTAGTGCCCTCGCTTCCCATGCCAAAGGTCGTGAGATCAATCCCCGCATCCTCCACAGGCGAATATATTTTTTAATCCTTTATATTATGTTCGCTGCCACGCATATAAAGGATTTATAGTGAAAAACTTTGTTTTTACGGGTTTACTTGTTTTTGTCTCACGACAGATTTTATTTACATTGTTACCCATCCTGCCATGATAAAAAGTTATTTAATCAAATTAAGCATTTTTTTTGCTCTTTTTTTACAATTATATTACATTAGGGAATGAATAAATCATACAGCTAGCAGTGCATCATCCTGTCTGAGAATAGCTGCAGAAAGATGTCACCTTAATACTTGTGAAGTTGTTTCTATTGACCTATATGCACACTTGAAACTTTCCTTTTAATATCCTGCAGAAATGTGCTGTGTTCATTAGCTAAATGTGTTAAGTCTCCGAGCGAATACAGGGTAAAGTAAATAACTATTTAATATAGTTTTGTTTTTTGCCATCCTTAGTCGCCAGGCTAAGACCATCAACTGGCTACACGTGACAACCTAGTTTAATCATGCCTAGTGACTCCGATTTAACACTAGAATCATAACTGTGTGGTTCAAGAGTTCTTAACTTCTGAATCCATTAGGCCACCTCAAGTGATAGAATGTTGATTGAATGTGTGCTGCCCAGCTCATGGTGGGCAAATGTGGAGATGGGACCCCCCGACCCTATCCTGGGAGTGACGGAGGCCTTCAAGCGCGACACCAACCCCAAGAAGATCAATCTGGGTGTCGGCGCCTACCGTGACGACAATGGCAAACCATTTGTCCTGCCGTCGGTCCGAAAGGTGGGGATTTCTTAAATATTGTTCTGCCTTATTTTGAAATTTGCAACAGAAGCCACAATATTGCTGTTTTGTGGCCTTTCATATTTTTCAGAATACTACGCCTGCTTTGATTTGTAGGCTCGTCACCTATTCAGCCAAGCCATTAGTGCCCTTCGCCAAAGTGTAAATCAGGGCTGAGGGATAGCACTTTCCAATGCAATGAAAGCCAGATTTGCAGCCCTGTGGGAATTGCCGTGCCAAGTCGTTGTAATACAATAAGTTGCCAAATTGTTAACCTTATGGCCATCTGAGAGCTAGGAATCCATTAGTCCAATAGATTCTGCTTTGTTTATCATAATGGGACACACACAGATTTGTATAAATTTCCATATGCAATGATTTGTCAAATTACTTATTTTTGTACTCTTCAGCACCGGACTAAAAGCTGTAAAGCCTTTAGGCAGGTATGTCAACAGTCTTGTTTTCGATTCTTCAGTGGATTATGCAAATGGGGGTGTTTGAAAAATGGTTTCTACGAATACATAGCAAACGTCATCTTGATTTTCAGTAGTTAACAATTACAAAATTGTCCCTGTGGCATATGAGCCCTTGAATTTCTCGGATGACTTTTGTTATCTGTTCTGCACTTTGGATCCACAAATAAAATGGTGCTGGTAACTAGCAGACATTGTCTTCTGTTAAATGATCAAAATCGTAATTTACTTATTTTTGGCGACTCCGTCCCACCATGCACATAAACACCGCAACCCACCTGGCACAGATCATTCTCTTGTCATGCCATCCAAGCACAGCGAGGACGAATGCGCAGAAAAGCTGAACAAGCGAATGCAAAGGTTCCACATCACGTCCTTGCTGATGATGATCTTGACGCCATCAAGGAGAATGCCAACACGTGGGAGGTTGAGGACAGCTTTCCCGGCTCTCATCGTCGGCCTCGACAGTACTTTGTTGAGCCCCAACATCACCTGGACCGAGCTTTATCGCCGATACAAGGCCAAGTTGGATGCTGTCAAGGGGAGTCGAGTCGTGTCTTATTCGCGATGTATTCAATACATTCACATGTTCTATCCTGGACTACGCTTGACAAGCACCACGGAAGGCGTTTGCGACTGCTGCGTTTGCCTCGACATCCAGCTCCCGTGCGAGGATCTTCCAGCAGATGAACGCGAGCGCCTACTGGAGAAGAATTTCCATCTCGACTGCAGCCGTCGGCTAGTGCCGGATGGTGTCCACTTTCGTCAAGGAGTACTTCAAGCAGCATGCTTCTGATCACAACGTTCCCGTCACCCTCATTCCGGACCACTATGACGACTCCGAACCCGACTGTCAATTCTGCCCACGAGTCAAGCCGCCTGCCGACGATTCAGAGTGTGGACTTTGGCAGTAGCTTCGCCATGTCACACTATGGTCACATGCCACCGTCGGCCGATTACTTTAATTCAAACCTGATGGTACAGAATTTCGTGCTGGCGGACATCGTGAGCGGTGTCAGCAATGTGATCTTTTACAAAGAGTGCGCGGACGCATTGTACAGTCTCCATTTCACGTACCACATGCGGCTGCTCGCCAAGAACCCGGGCGCGATGCCCAAGACCAAGACCCTGGTGATGATTCTGGACAACTGCATTGGCCAGAACAAGTCTCAAGTCGTGTTCATGTTCTTTGCGCTGCTGTCGCTCTTGTTCTACCGCAAGGTCATTCTGTTGTACTTCATACCAGGGCACTCGCACAACCAAGCCGATCGAGTTGTTGCATGGTGTCGCAGTTCGATGAAGGCCTAGAACCTCTACACGCCGTCGAATATTGTCGATACTGTCAACCTGATCAGCAGTGTCGAGGCAACATTTATCGATCATCAGGATGCCCAACGCCCTTTTTACATAGGCTGGGACAGTCTATTGAAGCACTTAAAGTCGATGCTGCCCCGATACACGTACAAACTACGGCTTTAAGGTCGATGGAGTGCTCGGCATGAGCCACCTGAGCTTGACTCCGGACAACGAGGTCACCTATGTCCCGCTGATCGTGCCGGAGAACGTCGATATCGTTCGGCGATCCATTCCACAGGATCTTTTTGGCGCCAACGTCAACACGATCGAGAAGGAGACGTTCAAGTCGATCCGATTGCCGACGGCTCCTGTCAGCAGCCTATCAACCAAGACGCTGGCCTCACTATCGAACAACTACTTCTCAATTCCACCCGAACACCTGCCGTACTTGTGCTTGGTTCTTTCGGTAAAGTCACGTAGAAGGTAAGTAATAAAATAATAAAAATTAAAAAAAACATAATAAAATAATTCTCACGACGTTTTGTTATGTTTTATTTTTATTATTTTATTACTTCCCTTCTACGTGACTTTACCGAAAGAACCAAGACGATGAATCCCTGCAGTCACGAAAGCTTTAAATCGAAATTTAACCTGCCGTACTATCCGGCTGTCCTGAGCGAGATCGGCTCGCAGATCGACGACGATCCGATGCCTGAAGGAGGCCCCACTCGCGCGACGAAACGAAAGTGTGCCGCCATTGACGCGATGGTGGAGCCGGCTGCTGAGACCGGTTCAGCAGCCAAGCCGAAACCTGATCACCCCTGGAAGAAGGTCGCCGTTGACACAGGCCAGAAATAAATTCTCGTTCTTCACCAAGCACCTGTCGTTGCCAAAATTGCCGTAGACATGAACAAAACTTTGATTAGCGCATCGTGTAGAGGTCCTCGAGAGGAATAGATTGCCGTATCCGTTCGCCTTCAACAGACATAAAGACGTCGCAACGCAGTTTATGCGAGAGCCGGGGGCGTATGGGACCCCGGGGTCCCGCCATAAGGTTCATATGAACAACATGCCACGGGTCACATGTTTATTCTATGATTTCAGAAAAACTAGCCAGACTTGTTATTAGGGAACCTTCAGACTCCCAAGTTCAAGTCTTATGGTTTTTGATCCGGTAATGTAGAGTAGCGGATGCTGCCACGTGACTTGCAATCCATATTTCGCCGATTCGATTCAATCGCCGGCAAGGCAGCTGAAACGATCTGAAAGTTACTCTCTACACAGTAGTATAAATGTTTACGCCACATTTAATCTACCTGTGGGTCACATCTGGTGGGCTAAAGTGTGGCTACTCAGACCTCTTCCACGATGTGGCCGTTATGGAATAGTAGGCCAAATACCTTCCTGGGGGGCTTCAGAGCATCCTCTCTATCACCCGAATGTAGACTGGCCTTAAATGTTGTTGAAGTTAGGGCCTGTGACCTTGGCATTGCAAGGGCAAACGTGTAATTAAAGTTTTTAAGTGCCACATGAGAAAGGCAATATCTCACATGTTCAATCGTGAGAGAAGTAAAAGCAGCTGTAAGTGCGAACAATTAAATGCCGTTATTCTTACAATGTGTTTTTGCCCAAAAGCTTACGTTTGTATTTAGAAAATAACATTATTTTGAGACTTCCCCGTCCTTTCATATGGCTTATGTAGAGCAACCAGTAGAAATTCATTGTAAAATTTGTCTGGATGTTGGTGAATTCCAAATACTTCGCCTTCAAAAATGCTTTTCCCCCTCTTAATTTCACAACGTGTTTACGTTAATACCACATGGTGTGTGCACAACATTTACATGCAACAAGTGTCACTGTCTTTTCACAACCTTGGTGTTTGTCCTAAAATGACCTACAAGAGTAGTTATTATTTATTGCCTGGCAGACTACAAGATATATATTGATAGACCAAGATAGCGCATGCAGATTACATATCCAATTGCATTTACTTGAGCAGGAAAAAAGGGCTAACATATGTGGCTTTTTACAATCGCCGTACATGTAGTCAATAGCAGCTTAGCGAGATCAGCGTTTGCTAAGGCTGTTATGTGATGTACAGACCTTCGTTATTCCACTGCTGGATAAAGGCCTTAAGGCGATTGTTTGACTATACTTCGCCACACTGGTCAGTGTGAATTAAGCTGAGGAGTATATAGACCTGGCTGCGTAGTAAAGTACACAATAGATATTTGCCTTCTGCTATCCACGATGTAGCATAGGAGTAAGGCATTTTTTTATTTCCAATTATTTATTCGTTTTAACACATTTAATTGGTTAGCACATCTATGATACTCTGTTGCACATCAACGTTAACTGTTACAAGTTCCTGTATAATTAGGTCACTGGGATATATTCTTGATAGTCGTCCTGAAATCCAGCAGGTTATAAGAACCCCTTGAAAAGCCTCTTTCTCTGGGGCAGACAATTATGGGCTCATCTTCAACCTTCCTCAAGTCATTACCATGAGCCTTAGTCCTTGACATAATTTGCAGGCAGTGTTTGTGGTTGGCTGTAAGATAAACTGCTGGATCCCTGAAGTTAAATATGATCTTCTTGGTTCTTTCTGTAAAGTCACGTAGAACGGAAACAATAAAATAATAAAAATAAAGCATAATAAATACAATTCTCACGACGTTTCGGCCACAACGCAAGCAGCATAATTTTATTATGTATTATTTTTATTATTTTATGTTTCCATTCTACGTGACTTTACCGAAAGAACCAAGAAGATGAATCCCTGCAGTCACGAAAGCTTGAAATCGAAATTTAAATATGAGCTGTAAAAAATATATATACACATAGTGCTATTGAAAAAAAAAATCCCCAATTTGGCATTGTCATGAGATAAAGATTGAACCGAGGTCTCTGGCAGAGCAGTACAGCCCTGTGTGTGTTCCAAGAATGGCCAATGAAAATGAATATTACAGAGCTACCTCGTAAGATTACTTCAAGTGACCTGGTCGACACTTTCCCACCTTGCTCTGCCATAGAGTAATGTGCATCACATAATAGTCACATTTATTATTTTAATTCTCCCAGCTTGAATTTGGCGAAATTTAGTGCAGAACCAAATTTAAGGGGTTTGTTTCGTGACCAGGATGAAACCCATCGACTCACTACAATGGAGGACCCAGTTTAATCAGACGGCTGCTTGGATTTAAAACCAGGATCTCGGGTACCAGTGCAGTTCTTTGACCTCCGAGCCACCCGGCCACCTTCAAAGTATAACTGCCATCAGTAAAGCTTATAAAGTATTCTGAACCGTATTGAGTTGTGTCATACTGGTATCCTCAAAGGTGTGGATTGCATGTACAAAAGCTCTCAGGCTTAACCAGTCGAGCTCAAAATAACTGAATGATTGGACATGTTGTCATTGAGACCACCAACTCAACAGCTGAGAAAACATGGCCATCCCAACCAAATGGCCACATGTTCAGTTCTTTCGAGCTGTTGGTCTGGATAAGGCCGAGAGCTTTCGTACACATGTAATACACACCTTTGTGTGTGTATGTTGTTAAATCTCTGTTTCTAGTCTGCATTTTTTCAAGTTGTGATGGGTTCTCATTATTTACATATTTGAATGCTTGTATACTCAACAGGCTGAGGCCATCCTGGATGGGAAGAAGCAGGACAAGGAGTACCTGCCCATCGGGGGCCTCGCCGAATTCACCAAGGCCTCTGCGGAGCTGGCCCTGGGGCAGGACAGCGAGGTCATCAAGAGTGGCCGAGTAAGACGCCACCCTTCCCTTGATGGGACACAACCGCGGCGGTCCCGGTGCTGTGATTCAAGCCTGGAATTTTGTTGTTGTTCAATGAGTGAGAACAAAGTTTACAATGCACTAATAGGGTTTTTCCCCTTTTTTCTGGCAACAAAACCGACACCTTTTGCAAGGGATCATGCTTACATTAACCACAATACTTGCAGTTAAATGCAAACAAAAAACAATACTCTGATAATTTATGCATTGTCTTTGAAACTGATTGGTCCACACCAGAGACAGCTTTCTTTAGAACCTAGTCTCATATGGTGATGACGCCAGAAAAAAAAGGGGAAAAACCCTATTAGTATATTTTGGTACTGGCAAAGGAGGTCCCATGATGATGATAACGTTTACAATGGTTTAGAAACCCCCCCCTCCAAGCAGTAGATGTATCATGCAGCGCAGGTTATAATACCTGTTGTCTTAGTTTAATGTTATTCTTATCGCTCCATAATATTCAGCCCCCAAGAAAATATATTTTTAGATGCACATGCTAACATTCCTTATCATATACATTTGAATTAAAACAATTCTCTGTTTTTGTTCCTAAGCAAGTATCTTGACTGTTGATCTCTTCACAGTACATCACAGTTCAGTGCATCTCTGGGACTGGCAGCCTGCGTGTGGGCGGAGTATTCATGGTGAGTTCACGTAGCCAAGTAAGCTCGGTTTAAGGCAGGGTTTCCTAAAGTCTAGTCATTATGACTCACTACAGTACGCCTATATTTAGCAAGCTTCTCCATTCACTTGCAAATAACGTCCGATTAGCACAGTTAGCTACGTACAGTGTGAAATAAGTTCTTCATACATACAAGTAATTTACATCTTGCACGCACCATATGATTGATAAACTCATCCCACGTGATGTAGAGAATGTAGATTTTTTTTTTAAATCTATGCTTTTGTCCTCGGCTAAATTTTGTATTTGAATGGAGAAATTGGAACACGTGGCAAAGAGGATCTTGTGGTAGTTTGCTAAGACAGGAGTTTGAGAAACCCTGGTATATGGTGTTCTTTAGCTCCGTTAACGCCCATGTTCCACAAGCTGACTCGTCGCCAATGTCCGGGTGCAGTCGCGCTTCCACCAGGCCAGCCACGACGTGTTCCTGCCCAAGCCATCGTGGGGGAACCACACACCCATCTTCCGTGACAGCGGCTTGCAGCTCAAGGCGTACCGCTACTACGACCCTAGCACCTGCGGATTTGACTTTTCTGGGGCACTTGATGACATCTCGGTGAGTGTGTTCTCATTGGTTGCGTGGAAACGCGTACTATTTATCTGCATGCAACATATGTTCCTCTCTTATTCGTTCACTTATGGATGGGCACGTCCTATAAGACGGGTAGGGAATCGTTTTACTTACTAAGGGCCAAGTAGAATATTTAACGTCCTTTGGCAACATAGACACTTTACAACTTCATGTTTTTATGTTCATTAATAATGCAACAAAAATATTACGGCTCACCTTTCCAGCACTGATTTCCTCCGGCTAACGCATTGATCTAGAGTCGTAATGCCCAAGTAGACACACGTGCTGAGATGGCCGTAGTGACGGATAAATATTGTTTGCGGGACATTCGGAAGTGGTAGACCCTTTGGCCACGAGCTGTATGAAGTGAAATCGTGGACCGTATTTAACCCCTCGGGCTGGGGGTTCCCCCACCCCTACTTATAAGGTAATCATGTGTAGCAAGAGCTTTTTGTTATTAAGTATATTTTCGATGTGAAACATGGCATGCAGACAATCCTTAAGTATTATATGACAAACATTTAATGACCCAACATGAACCCTGGTTATGTTATTCTACCAAGTTTCTATTTATAAGCCCTGTCACATTCCACTAAATCATCTGGGCGTCAGTGCAAAAATAGTTGACCTAACTTCTGTGCACACACCCATGGCATTCTGGTATCTGGTTTTGCTGTTCATAGCACATACAGGTACAAGAATGATAGTTGAGAAGTGACGAGCTAGTGTCCAGTGTTTCTTTGCAATTAAACCATTTATGAAGCCCATCGAGTGTGGAACACTTTTGTAGGCAGATGGGTTTCCAGTACTGTGTTTGTTGTGCTTATTACTTGGCTTTATTCATATACATGCGATGATTTGAGATTTGATACAGTTCCATGATTCAAGGTCACGTTTCGATTGAGAAGTTTGAGGGGCATTTGTGATGCATTCGGTGTCTGTAATAGCAGTAGGGTTTAAATGAACCAACGACAAACAATAGCTATGAATAACATATAATTGTTTGCACACGGTTAGATGCATGCTTTCTTAATCGATTAAACAATGCATTGTTGCATGCCTCTTAGCCATGTCCTCATTGGAAATAAGACCGGTGTTATTTTTAGTAAACTACTGAGGCTATATAATTGGGAACGATTATACCACAGACGACGCCTTGTGCGGAGCCTCCAGAAATTGCTTGCCATCATCGTGACCTACCTTTCTGTTTGTCAAAGACCGCGGTTAATCCTTTACCTCTCTCGTTCGGCAGAAAATCCCGGAGAAGAGCATCATCCTGTTCCACGCGTGCGCGCACAATCCCACGGGCGTGGATCCCAAACCCGAGCAGTGGAAGGAAATTGCTGCCGTCGTGAAGGTGAGCCGCCATCGGATGAGCTGTTGGTGCAGCGAGACCAATTAACAAGGTGCCGGGGTGAGTGAAGAATGCGACGGAGCAATGGTTCTCAATGTTTCTGGTATGGCGGGGGGCCTCAAATCGAGTCCACTGGTTCCTGCGTCCCTCGCCCCAGGCCCCACACTCGTTTCAACGTTTCGTTTTTTATCACAACGTGCCGCTGGCGTTCTCTGCGCGCACGTGGAATTTCTCCTACGCAGTCTCCATGCCGTTGTAGCCGGACAGTTGCCGCCAGCCTTTCGTTAAAACTAAACTGTATTTTACCAGGAGAGACCCACTGAGCATTATAGCGCTTATTCGTAAGCGAACCGGCCGCGCAGAAAAATCGATGCGACTGTGGGGAGAACATGCAGATCCCAAATATACAGGCGTCGGCGTTGGGATCGAACGCACAACCTCCTGTGTATACCAGGTGAGGTAGTTAACATCTTGCCACCATGATGATAATGAGAGGAGAGAGACATGCAAACTCCAAATATGCAGGTGTCAGTCGGGATCGAGCCCACGACTTCGTGCATACCAGGTGAGGTAGTTAACATCTCGCCACCAATGCTCAAATCCCATGGAACCTATAACAAAAAAGTAAAAATAAGCTGTTGAGAGGCATTCTCAGGTGCTAATGGAAAGTAATTTGCTCCTGAGATGGAATTATCACATTATTTTCAACAATCAACAGAAAATGTCGAAAGCAAATTGTGTGCCGTTAAACTAACGCATGGAAGCACTTGGTGGTTTATTGTTTTTTTCTACATGGGGGTATTTTTTTATGTTTATTATAAATGTCAAGCAGTGTCAACAAGACTATCGGGTGAAAATTACGCACTTCGGTTCATAATGTTAAACTATTTTTGACTCCCCAGTTATGACGTAGATATTCATTAATTTTTTGTTCTGGGCATGTGAATCCCTCCGTTCATACTGCATAATATATTACCAAAAGTCAAAATATCTTGTTACATGTGCTTTTTATTGCGTTAACAGATGACATGATAGCGCTGATAAAAATTGTCAAACTATAAGTAAAGGGGAGGATTTTAATTTCTATCACAGAAGATGAAACGTGGCTTTAAGCATTTAAAGGCCAGATGCTAATAGAGCAAATAAACTGCAGTTCTTTGCAATCTATTCAGTCAACTAACACGCACATTTATTATGACCGTGAATATTCTGCAAGTCTCTTATGTGTGAAAATTGCTTTTGTGAAAGAGTTTGCATGTGACATTCCCACTCGTGAGCGGCTTTCACTGCATTAATGCCTTCGCGCACGCTGGGCCTTTAACGTCACCGTCTGCAGCCATGAACGACATGGTCATGATGACAGAAAATCCTTTCTCATTTGCACTCGCAGCTTGAAAAATCTGTCCGTGCCTCCTGTCGGGATGATCAAATAAAGCCATAGTTTTACAATAATATTTACAGCAGTTGGAATTCGTGCACATGAAGATTTAGGTGTATGTTGGCAGTCATGTACATGGAAATCCTGAAATTTCTCAATTGTCATCATCAACGCTGCCTTCTTATAGCACAATCTGCAATGGATGGCTCTTGAGAATTGCTGTTTGTCAATTTTCACTACACGATTACATTGTATTGATTGCTATCCCTGCAATGTCCTTCCTGTTCCCCAACTGCAGAAGAGGAGCCTTTTCCCGTTCTTCGACATGGCGTACCAGGGTTTTGCAAGCGGAGACACCAACCGTGATGCCTGGGCCGTGCGCTACTTCCTGGAGCAAGGTCACAACATTGCGCTCTGCCAGTCTTACGCCAAGAACATGGGCCTCTACGGTACGCACCTTTCCATTACCACGTTGCTCGCCCCCGACCTGCTCTGCATTCATTATACATCAATGACTTGCGCAGATGCTGCAGCTGGATTAGCTTGATCGTATTGCCCATTCTCCGATAACGTGTGTTCTTCTTGACGGCACATCTCGCACCCCCCAACCCCCATATCTCATGGGATAGGCGAGCGCATTGGTGCCTTCACCATGGTGTGTACGGATGCTGAAGAGGCCAAGCGTGTGGAGTCTCAGCTGAAGATCCTCATCCGCCCCATGTATTCCAACCCCCCGCTCACCGGAGCGCGACTGGCCGCCACCATCATGAACACCCCCGACCTTCGCAAGGAGTGGTACGGTTCACGGAACCATGAACACGTAAACTTCGGCCTCAACCAGTGACCTGAAATGAAAGTGACAGATTTGTGACACAACGGCTTATGTTAATGCTTGCAAGTTATGTTGAAATGTAAAAATTGAAGGTCTTTCACGAGGCATTCACAAAACTAAATCGCTGATTGTGGGCAGAAGTTGGTGACATTTTACCAACCAAATGTAATCTTTTCCATTTGTCTCTACTAATCTATTCTTTATCATCATCTGCTATTATCGCACAAACCCATCTCACCTCTGTCCTATTTTTAGTGTGTGTGTGTGTGTGTACTCACTACGGGCTCAAAGTGCACCCTAAGCATGGCACAAGCGCCGTGGTGATGTCACCGCCACTTGGCGAATGACAATTTTTGCTGTTGCTGTCATTATGGGCACTCGCAGCATTTGCCCCGAAAGTCTGCATAGTTAAACAATGGGAATTTCATCTTTTGTCTTTGCGTGTGCTTAGGCTGGTGGAGCTGAAGGGCATGGCTGACCGCATCATTGGCATGCGCAGTCAGCTGGTCAATGACTTGAAGAAGGAGGGTTCCACACACAACTGGCAGCACATCACAGACCAGATCGGCATGTTCTGCTTCACGGGCCTCAAGCCTGAGCAGGTGGGCACACGGCCGAGTCTTGTGTCCGTGTCAGCTGGCGGTTTTGGCCCCGTCGCAGACCCCAGCACCCTGCAAGCCCCTCCACACCCCACACCCCACTGCCATCTGACATCTGTGAAAGCGAGCTTCACAGTTTATTGGATTCCTCAACGATAAATAAGGATTCTGACATGGGTCTCGCAATGTCCGATGGAATTGTGCTTCTGCACTGCTGGCATTTCCATGGTGTCTGTTGATTTGCATTTGATGAGATGAAACGTTTGCCACTGGGAATTAAGATGTATTGTTTGCTCCCTCCAAGAATATCCAATGTACCCGGCTTAGATTAATCAAATTCTAGATTTGAAGCTTTCGTGACTGCAAGGATTCATACTTTGTTTTTTTCGGTAAAGTCACGTAGGTAAAAAATAAAATAAATGAAAACTAAATTATATCACGACGTTTTGGGCGCAACACAAGCGTCCGTCATCAGGTGCGGACAACCACAGTGAAACGTGATTTCATTTCGTTGTTTTCATTTATTTTATTTTTTACCTACGTGACTTTACCGAAAAAACCAAAGCGTTAGATTAATCTAATTTATATTTATAGAGCGCCTTCACTCAAGGTGTTGACATAGCTTACAAAACGATGACAGTGTAATGATGTAGTTGACAGGGGTGTACAAGGATTAAGGAGTGAGTGACAGCGATCGAGGGTACGTAGGGATCACGAAATGGTAGGGACGGAGTGGCGGAGTGAGGGGAGGGAGGAGAATGGGCTGTAGAGAAACGAGGGAAGCTTTTAAAGAGCAATTGAAGGAGGGGGGGGGACTGCTTAAGGCACAAGGGAAGTTGATTCCAGTGGAGTAGTGCAAGGAGGGAGATGGACCGAAAGCGGGATTGATTAATACTCCTTATACATATAGCAACTTTATATATGTTCGTGTGACCGCATCTGAATGTGTTTTTTTTATCATGTTTTTTTTTACCATTTTCCAAAATTGAAATTGAATTGGACTTGCACCAGGGTTGTGTGCTATGATTTAAAGCAGTTACTTTTAAAGTGGTATCTTGATGATGACTGTAATTGGATGGAATTAATCGTGTAACAATTTTGACTTAAACCCTATTCATCATTTTCTCGATGTATATAACAAAATATAAAGGACATATAATTTTTTTTTATATTTAAGTAGGTTAAAAATAATGGAAGAACCTTTTACCTACTATAAATCACCGAGAAATATCTGTCCGTCCCGTGCGTGACGTCACTCCACATGGGGCAACCCCTCCCCTCATTAATAATCATGAGCTGAACAATTTTTCTATTAAATATTTCAGATGTACTGCAATATAACGCCCGTCCTTGGACGGGCAAAAAAGCTAGTAAATTATATCCATCTGATCAATTTTCCAAATAAATACATTTCAAATAAAACTAGCGTAGTGATTATCGCATGGAGCCAGTGACTTGAGTTCCATTCCTGGCCACGGATAACAAAAGTGGCGAGTGGTATCTTGGTATCTGAACCTCTCCTGGGTCACCCCAATTTCACCAACTGCACGAACCAGCTTGGTCCAGTATCCCCCATTTACGGGGGAGGCCTTCATTCAGAGGTCGGTTGACAAAGCGCTGTGTCAAATGTTCAACCATTAATCTTTGGCCATATTCGATGTCACTAACGGCACTTGCTTTTGTGGTGGGGCAGGTGGAACGCCTGATGAAAGAGTTCTCCGTGTACATGACCAAGGACGGCCGCATCTCCATCGCTGGCCTGAGCTCTGGGAACGTGGGCTACCTGGCGCATGCCATCCACCAGGTCAGCAAGTGAGCAGCCGAGGAGAAGCAAGCCCCAGCAACGCCAGGGCCCATCTGTCTGCACCCACAGCACCTTCTAGTACATGCGACATCGTGAAATACTACCCATCGTGGGAATATTTACCTGCTCTTATGGCAACAGGGATGGCAAATGCAGAAATAGTATTTTTGATGAAATTGGATTAGCAGAGCTCATTTTAAGTCGATTACCAACATTTCAGTAATTTCATTGTTGAAGCTGACAGAATCTTGTGAAAAAGGGTAGGGGGGGTGAGGATGCATTTGATCTTAAACACGGGTGGGAGGTTTTGTTCGTGACGAGGCAATTAAAATTAAATGGCAAATGCTTGTAAACTCTGTCGCACTTAAGTTGGCAATGAGTAATCAGTCCAGCCACTTTCAAAAGATTAAACTTAAGCTATAATTATTTGTGTAGTGTGCTATAATACATCGGTGTGATGTAGATACCAAAACAATAAAGAATTGCTGATCATAATGTCAAGTGTCGATTGTATTTTTTGCAGTTCTGAATCTACAAGTGATCAGATCGTAACGAATTGAATGCAACGTGCATCTGTCGTGTTTATAAACTGTACATTTTTCCAAATCAAATGCGGAATGAAGGCTGTTTTATTTTGACATCACTTGCAATCTTTATCCAACATGACATCAAAAAACCCTTGTATCAAAAGGATTGTAAAGCGTTGAAATAAGTGCAAGTGTTTCATGAATATTTGCATTTATAAAATAAACCTATTGTGTGAATGCCACGTGCTCAGAATAAATTACACTACAAGGACGAAACCTGAAAAATGTGAACTACAATGGAGGCAAATAATTGGTTCTTGAATCGCGGCAATTCATTTTCCAGGCGGGGGTGGATCATTATACGTGCCTACTACGATTCTTTGGTTCTTTCGGTAAAGTTACGTAGAGAATAAAATTAAAATAAACTCGTGAAAAAAGGGTCTCTTTACCCCCCCCCCCCTTCTCTGCCTGACGACCGCTTTTGTTGCAATCGAAACGTGAGTTTTTTTTCATGTTTTATTATTTTATATCTACGTAACTTTACCGAAAGAACCAAATAATGAATTCCTGCAGTCACAAAAGCTTTAAGTCAGTGTATGCCTACTACTTTTCACACTAGTATTCAATATAACCTGATCGCGCATCGCCCGTGTTGACCGAGCACCTGAAAATAATTATTGCACTGCTGCAGATGAAGTCATCTTCTCAACTTGCAGCATGAATAGTTAATGTGTAATAATGTGGCAAAGTTTACAGCGATTCCGCATTTGACAATCCGTAGCTGATGTGTATTATTTGCTATGGCAACACTGCCTTTTTAAATCGATGTACACGTATGCTTTCTGGAAACGTTTATTTTGCACATGCTTCATAAGTGTCTCAACCCCAATTTGTATTGTCATTTTTAAATTCCATTTATTTCCTTCAGGTGTTTTCCCATTCAGCCAATGTGGAATGTAGTTGGCATTGGGGTTCGCGTGTTCATGATGCTCATCATAAACCACGAATAATACGCCATGAATGTGCCTCACGCAAAGGCTTTAATGCTGCTGTGGCCCAGAGGAGAGCCATACACAGCTGTTCATGCCATTTAATCTTTATATCGATGGCACAAGTTGTGACCAGACCTCACCTTGGAAGAACTAATGTTTTTAAAAACTTCCATATAAATAACGCTGCCTTAAAATGAACAATGTAGAATGGGCAATATTTCAGGCATTGACCCTCCATAGCTTTGAGATCGGACGTCACAAGGTTGCTGGCATTCCACGTGTAAGTGCGGTAACGGGGTGTTCATGACATGTCACGGCTCACGACGTTCAAATTAGGTATTTATTTTGAAGCTATCGACATTTAACGAAATAAAATCAAGTCCATGACAAAACAATGGGGCCACCACGTGACCTCATACACGTAAACCATGGGCACTTATGCGAGTTCCTCGCAATCGTGGCAATGACCTAAACGGCATCTCGTGAAGGATAAATATTGAACTGCACCATGGAAATGTGGAGGGGCTGTGCATCTCTCGCCCGTCGCCACCAGGGGGTACGATTGCCCAGTAAAAGTCTGCAAAAAAAGATCCACATTCCTCAATAAACACTGGTCTTCAAATAAAAAGTATAATATGGTTGACGTTTTGGGGCAATAACACTTCTTCATAGCACACATATATATATACCAGAGAGTTAAATCAGCTTCTTGGTTCTTTCGGTAAAGTCACGTAGAAGGGAAGTAATAAAATAATAAAATTAAAACATAAATATTTTATTGTTTTATTTTTATATTTTTTTATTATGTTTTATTTTTATTATTTTTTTATTATGTTTTATTTTTATTATTTTATTACTTCCCTTCTACGTGACTTTACCGAAAGAACCAAGAAGATGAATCCCTGCAGTCACGAAAGCTTTAAATCGAGAGTTAAATCAGGTTAGGAAAACTGCAACTTAACACCATCGGGTTTTCTGATGGCCTGGCCTGTAAATCAGTTTCCTGCTGCCATCCCTTGGCATATGTTTACCTTATTCAACATGTAAACAATTAATTTGGCGATTCGGCACTGCGTTGGCAGTGGTGCACAAGCACAATTAACAAATGCGGCTCCAGCGTATTTTTAAATCCTTTATATTAAGTTCACTTGCTTGCTTGCGCGCTTACGACCGTGCAAATATTTCGGTCGTTTTTTAACCCACTTCCCGTGATCCAATCGAGCTGACATTTTGCACACAGACTCGTTGTGCGTGACAATTTATTTTCGTGAATTTTTTTTTCCACTTTTTAGGAATTTTTTTAAATATTTAATTACCAATTGCTTAATGGTGGCAGACAATCATCTGACCCATAGGTGGCAGCCATCTCAAGCCAGAGGACGAGAGGACTCTAGCCGCCTGTTTCAAAGACCAATGTGGGCTGGGTTGTGGCCCATTGAACACACATATAAAGGATTTATAGTGAAAAACTTTGTTTTTACGGGTTAATTTTTTTTTCCTTTTAAAGAAATATCCTCAACATGTCCTTGAGCTTGTGACACGTGTGAACATGTGTCCCTTGCCTGGTGTGCTCATCAATGCATGTACTATTTGGATTTATCACTTTCCCAAGAGATATTGATATGAAGTCAATTATAGGTTTTTGTGCATGCTATTAAGTCTTGTAAATTGCAAACACGTAAAAATGTTTAAAGATTTCGTAGCTAAGGAATACTACTTCAGATATACAGTATTAATCTGCAGCAGTACAGATAATATTTGGATGGTAACATCAAAACATCAGTTGCACTTTCTCAATGTTTACCATGAGCAGCATGGGCAGTGTTATCTTGGGAGTAAAGTTTTTTGCGTAAACCACGTTAATTTATTTTTACCATTTCAGACTGATGACATTCAAAACTCCGTACCTATAAATTAACACAAATGGCCTGCATTATTGGTTTTCTTTGTCATTTCAGCATGTGCGATTTTCCACCAATACGTTAAAAAATTCCAAAGATTAAAAATGACAGAATATGTATGATGCGTACAATTTGGTGGTAGGGTTGCCACCTTTGAGATGCAAAATAAATGGGACACGTGGAAATAAAAATATCAATACTGGAAGAGGAGGAAACTACATGTAACTGACGAAAAAAAAGGGGCTGTTGACCTTTAATGTTCTGGGAAAACTTCCAATAATTCCCCGGGACAGTTCTGGGAAACCAGGAGAGGTGGCAACACGAGGTGGTAGTCATGGTTTGCGTCTGCTTCTCTCCCCATTACACGATATTAAAAATCAAATGTGGCATGAGCAGCAGACATAATTGGGCCATAGTGGCAGGATGGAAGTGTAGATGGCAGCCAGTCTGCAATCCCCAAATTGAATGTGCCACGCACCTAATAAGATGAGTTTATTGTACAGTGGTTCCTCGTTTTCTGGGTTAGATCGCAAATGAGAGTTTGCAAAACTCCCTGAATGCCGTTATTCCGAGTACTGGCTCTTCCTTTGTCTTCATCATGATATGATACCGATAGCTCAATTGTTTACATATGCGGGGATGTAAACAGTGTCTAATTCTGGTGACATCTCACAAAGTTGGGACAATCTCATCACAGTACATTAAACATCTTCTTACAATGTGTTCTGTAAAAAAATAAGCAACCACACAATGCCCTTTGTTTATTCAGGAAATCCTCACTTAGTCGGATAACTTTGTTTTGGTCAGGAATGTTTGCCAACTGAATGTTTGCCAATTCCATTAATGAGTGTTTGGCATGGACATAATACGAAAAAGCCTTGCACCGATGCATTCAATTCACTTGCCGTACCGACATCTCCCGAATCACCACCCCTCGCTTCCAGAGTGCTGGATTGCAGACACACACCACTGCGCCTGGTTAAAATGTATGAATGCACTTGTACAGTTTTGTATCTGGGGAGGAGAGAGGAGATGTTATCCCTTGCACTGCCTGCACACCCCACGGTACAGTGTGCGTCTCGTGTTTTGTGCGCTAGAGGTCTAACAAGACCGTGGCCTTAAGCGCGCACTTACATTTCCCAACGTTCTGTCCAGGACCTGGAATGGGTGCGGCCAATGACTTCACTTTTCCATTTTCAGATTTCATAAGAGCTGTGGAATGTTTATTTTTAAGTTACAGTCGGTACCGGGAGACGACACGGCGTGCTTTTTTGTCCGTGTTTCATTGGCTTCGTGTTAGAATCTTTTTTTTTTCAATAAAGCCGCATTTGTGGCACCTTATGGGTTTGTTTCCACTTGTATGATTGGAATAGGTCGTGCAAAGATGAGAATATGTTTTCCAAGCAGCAGATGCTTGCATTGCACCCACGATGCATGACGGTGGCACTGACATTTCAATGGAGGAGGCTGCGATGGCATTGCAGCAGTCAATTCTTGAATCTATCTGGAGCTTTGGGTGTTACTCCCTCATGTGTCTGGGTTTTCCAAAGTTCAAAGACACTCATCAACGGAATTTACCAAACGTCTCAATGCAGGACCCTCCTGAAAAGAAAATTATTGGGGCTCATTGACGCTTGAGTGGGTAAATATGGGGCATTGTGATGATTACATTTTGACGTTGGATGTAAAAAGTGAGCTTTGGCAGAAAACGTCGTTGGAAGGGACAATGGTCTAACATAAGAAATGGGAGATGTAGCCAAGGTTTGGAAGGCCTCCGAACGAACGTCCGCAGAGCAGATGGAGCGATGAGCCGAGTTGGCGCCCAGGCACGAAGTGGATCCCGTGGTGGCGAGATGGTAATGCCCTCGCCTCGTATGCAGGAGGGCCGTCGGTTCGATCCCGACGTCTGTATTTGGAGATTTGCATGTCTCTCCCTCTCTCTCTCCGTGGTCACGTGGATTTTTCCATGGGTCCTTCGGTTTTTTAAATCCTTTGTATTAAGTTCGCTTGCTTGCTTAGGACCGTGCAAATCTTTCGGTCGTTTTTTAACCCACTTCCCGTGATCTAATCGAGCTGACATTTTCCACACAGACTCGTTGTGCGTGACAATTAATGTTCGTGAAATTTTTTTTCCAAAAATTTACACTTTTTAGGACAAAAATATTATATTTAATAACCAATTGCTTAATGGTGCAATGCAATCATCTGACCCATAGGTGGCAGCCATCTCAAGCCAGAGGACGAGAGGACTCTAGCTGCCACGCATATAAAGGATTTATAGTGAAAAACTTTGTTTTACGGGTTATACTTATTTCCCCTCCACATTTAGGAATCAACACGCGTTTAGAGTATTTGGCTTGCCGCTATGCATTTCCACGTGATAAGCCACTTCGTTGAACTATCACTCGTGGCCAGGTCGCTTCTGGAAGATTTAGTTTAAAAGCTTTAGTTGATATTTCGATTTAAAACTTTCGTGACTGCAGGGATTCATCTTCTTGGTTCTTTCGGTAAAGTCACGTAGAAGGGAAGTAATAAAATAATAAAAATAAAACATAAAATAATTCTCACTTATTTTATTATGTTTTATTTTTATTATTTTATTACTTCCCTTCTACGTGACTTTACCCAAGCGGTGGTGGCGGCGGCTTGAGTGGGCCCTTTATCCAGCAGTGTATTGACCGTGGCTGCTGATGCAAACAATGTTGGATCGCACCAGCTGTGAGGCAAAGGGACTTGCTTGGCTTTTGTTGGCATTGATGTGGAAGGGGGGCAATGTGTGTGTTTGTGTGTGGGGGGGGGGGGGGTTGCCAGGGGTTTTTCAGTTGACAAAAAACCGGATGAAACTATGGCCAGTTCGACTATAATTGCGTGCCATGGAAATGAGTAATTCACGTTCTTGCCCCCAGTGTGCTATTACTACCGTGCAATGCTGCGCTTCCTGGCGTGACAACTTTGTGAAGAAGTTAGCTTCGTACAGTACAGGGTGGTCCAGATGTCATGTGACCCCCCCCCCCCCACTTATTTTTTTTAATTGGGGGCCACAAGACATCTGGAGCACGCTGTACTGTGCTTGGTTCTGCTGTGCAGCGGCGCCATATCCCAAATCATCGACATGGTTTTTTCTTTAAGGGTCGTCTTATTGGCGAGCTCGTTGCGTTTGTGTGCAGTATTATTATGATAACAAGGCCCTAGCCATGGAGTCAACATTGGGGGGGGGGGCCACATCTTCCAGGAGGTCTGGGGTCCCCCCCCCCCCCAGAAAAAAAAATCTAAATTTGAAAACTAATTTCCTGCCTAAAATATTTTAAAAAAATCACTAACACATGGGATGGACTTTTCATTTATTTTTTACAATAATGTCTAATAGTGTATTGTATTACATTGCTCTGTTTTTTCTGTTTTACCTTTTTTTGTTTCATTGTATGTAATGGCAGAGTTTATGGATTAATAATGTACAACCATAACCACAATCATATGAACATAAATCTATTGTATAGCAATATATTGGGGGGGGGGGACATTTTGAGCATATTTGAATATTGGGGGGAGATGTGTGTCCCACAATATATATTATAATTATGGCCTTGCAGTAAAATCTCGTTCTTTCGGTATTTGATCATTCGTAATTGGGGATAATTCGGCACGGCTGCGCTTTCGGCATATATTTCAGTATATTAGTAATTCGCCATGAGCCGAATTGCCATACCAAATAGTCCGATTCGGAATGCACGTGGGAGCGACGCCGCGCGCCACGTTCTACCAGCAGTGAAGCCTCTAGTGCAGTGCCTTCAATCTCTGGATATTCTTCCACAGACACCTCTGTCAGCAGTGAAGTGCCACATCAGCTGATTTCGTCTGACAGCGACTAATGTGGTGTAAAAGTGTAAAATAATCTAGTTTTCGAGCAAAACATTAATTGTTAAGTGAAAAATGTAAAGTGTAAGTTCGTGAAGTTTGCTGTTCAAGTTATAATGTTGTAATAAAGTGAACCTACAGTACAGTAAGTGCATACTAAGTGTATTAAGCCCTTAATTCTAGATTTGAAGATTTCGTGACTGCAAGGATTCATGTTCTTAGGTTTTTTCGGTAAAGTCACGTAGGTAAAACATTAAAATTAATAAAAGTAAAATAAAATAAAAATCACGACGTTTCGGAGGCAACACAAGTCTCCGTCATCAGGTGGGACCGTCACAGCCAGATTTACCTTGATACAGCAAATCTGGCTGTGACGGTCCCACCTGATGACGGAGACTTGTGTTGCCTCCGAAACGTCGTGATTTTTATTTTATTTTACTTTTATTAATTTTAATGTTTTACCTACGTGACTTTACCGAAAAAACCTAAGAATATGTATTAAGCCCCCCATCCTCAACCTGTCCCCTATCACGTGGAACTTACCACATGTTAACCTACCACATCGTCCCTTGACCTGCACTGCTGGTTACTGATGGTTAGTATTTATTTTTTGGGAAAATATATTTTTGGGAAACAAATTTGAAATTGTTTGTTTATCGGGGCAGGAGGAACTGGGGAGTTCTATTGATATTAATTAGGACTATTGGATAATTCGGCAAGGCCAGAGCCCCATGTGTGTCTAATTAACAAGGGTTTACTGTGTTTGAATGGGAGTAAATTGGTAAATGTGGAAGGATGCAGCGTGGCACGTGAGTCGCAAGGACTGGGATTGCTCGGCGCTAGAGGTTTTTTAATTAAAACCTTGAACAAGCACCACTCTATTGGTCGCAGCTGGTCCTGGAAAATTGTACATTCTGCAGGTGCTATTTTGCATATTCCTAATCCCATGAACGCTGCCAAAATAAGCAAACCGAAGGCCATTGATTAATTTCCAGGAACAATTATTGCAGGAACGCATACCTCTATGAGTCACCGTATACTGTACTCTCAAAGAAACTAGACAATCATACAGAAAAAAAACCCATAAAATGAATTTACTTCCAACTTAGATGATGTGCTTTATTAATCACTCTAAAAGCTAGACAAAATAAATAACCCCCATGAGCACACGTTCATAGAATTTAGCGCAATAACAAAGAAAAAGGTTACAATAACAATACGCAAATTATAATAGCTGGCCAAAGACCCCCGGGTACCGGCACGGGACACGCTGCTGACGGGACAATATCGCTCGGCTGCCCTGGGGACGCCTGGGAATTCCACAGAAAGGGAGGTCTGGATCGCCCGACTCAATATTCTGCCGTCACGACCCTCACCAGGGGCAAGCGGATTGAGAAACGGACTAACGAAATGATAATAGCAACGCAACATAAAGAGGCATTACTACATGCGTATGCTTAATGTGAACGCTAAAAATACACGAATGCAAATAGTGGACGCATTCAATTATGACGAATCGTGTTACGAGGCAACACTTCAAAGAGAGTGAAACATAAAAATATTATTCAATGGTGTTTTATGATCCAGAAAATTACTGTTCAATAAGCATGATGTGCCGCTTTTTTTAGTGCTTAAAAAAGCTGAACCCGAAATGAGCAAACAAAATGTTCTGTATGTTCACATGACTAATGTAACAGAGATTAGCAATGTCAAATTGAAATTCAATATTCTGCAGTAAGCAGTTCCGAGATTGAATGGACAGCTGTTGAGTAAACTATAATCAAACTTCACTTAAAGCACAACCGTCCAGTCAGCTTCCTGGTGGTCAGTATTTATATGGGGCCACACTATTGAACAGCGCATGATTATTGACAGGAGTGAAACCCAGGAATCAGGGTACATAGCATGTGCAAAACGCTTAATCTATTTTCACATTTTTCTTCTATAAAAAATGTTCCATGAAAATTAGACTAAGTGCTTTTTAGATGATTTTTCATAAAAAGGGCTTTGTGAACGTAATGTAGAAATTATGGTGACAAGATTATCACATAACACACAGCAAGCAAACTTTTATCAAGAACCCATTGACCAGAATAAATTAAAGAGAACGCACTGAATGAAGGGAATTACAATTTAACATTTTGCTCAAGTGTTTCAACAACCTGCCAGCCAGTACACGACTGATTGTCTGGCGGGGCAAAATAACTAAATTTGAAATACAAAGCATTTGTACTGTATTTTTTTTATTTCACAACGGTCATATACAAATTTTGAAATCAGTGAGACATGAATGGACACAATTTCTATACCTGCCACATTTTATTTATTGCATTTGTCAAACGGGCGTAGATAATCAGGCTTATCGGCTGCACTGCAAATCACAGTACACGTTTTGCTGAATGTCTCTGCTGAATGGATTGTGTCACTGCAGGAACTCAGAATTGCCACTGTGAATTTAAAACTATAATTTCAACAAACCTCTCAGAATGTTGGTGAGTTTTCAGAAAACTGCAGTGTCAGATGATTCAAGACATTTCTTTTTCATAAATTTGGAAAATATATTGTCAACAAAATGTCGTTCAATTTCGTTTCCAATGGAAAGTTAAACACAGTCGATGTATTTTCCTCAACCACAGCAACGTGTGATGCTCTATCTCTGAACTACTGGAAATCAAAGACTACTTCTTCTGAAAGATAAAGCCTAAGAGTTTATTTTTTTGTCCAGCTTTAAAGCCGAGCTGTACATGAGAGAAGAATCGTACGATTTTTTGTCAAAACCCGACATCACTCATTAAAACGAAATGTAAAACCTCAAAGACAAAAAAAATGCATCATAAGATCGCCAGGAAAGTAGACGGCTACACGAATTATATTAAATCATTTATTAATTCATTACTTAAAAACACGTTTTTACTTGTGTGCAAAATAATAACTTTTACCCTCCGGGCCCACGATCCCTGCTCTCAGTTAACACTTAAATGCACAATACTGTACAGAGTCATAGTGGTTGCTTTGTAAATGAACACGATACACATGATAATTGGTTTTTTACCCTTCTATCTGGCAACACAACTGACACCTTTTTACAAGGAGTCATGTTTGCATAGACCGCAATACCTGCAGTCATAATACAAACAAAAGACATAACTCTGATAATGTGCACTGTCTTTGAAGTTGATTGGTCTACACCCGAGACAGCTTTCCTTAGAGCCTAGTCTCACATGGGTTGGACCAGATGACGCCAAAAGGCGCACAACTCAAAGACAATGCACCATCAGAGTATGAGAGCTCGGGGTAAGCATTTACACCATTGGAACCTCATTTGCCAGTAAAAAATATGATAATTGTTTACTGGCAGATGAGGTTCCCATAGTGACGATACACATGGTTATGCAAGTCGATGCGGCTGTCTTTTGCATCACACAGTACTGCGATGACCTAATTCCACACGATAACTTCATATTCTATTCACGTGAGTAAAAATTTAATGAATCTTCAAAATCAAATATCTTTGCAGATCCTTCTTTTTTTCTTCTCAAAGAAAGAAAACTTAATTTTTGCCAGTAGAGATCATGTGTGCATAAGGAAAATTACTCCAGAGAATTTTCCCACTGCAAAACACAAAATGCCCGTGTATGCACTAATACTGCCTGCCAACCCACATATTTTAAAAATGTTACAAGATTAAATCTGGGAGATGGGGGGGGGTGGAGGGAAACTTGGGGGGGTGGAGGGGCACGCTTAGGGAAAAACAAAAATTGTACACGAAGTATAAAGTGTGAAGCAGTTAAGTAATGCTCCATCGACTTTTCGTCTTTTTGCAGTGACATGGCCACGTGGTGGTACACGTGGTCGCCGCTCTTTGCAAAGGTCCGTGGTTTCGAATGCGGCAGGCAGCCCTGTCGATCACCGCCGGTGTAACAACCACACTGACGCTGCACGCCGTTTGCTTCGGAGTTGACGTGATCGACCCCCTCGTGGCAACATGGTCCACATTTGCCCTATTTTGGGAAATAACCCGCAAATTAGGCAATTGGCATTATGGTACATATAGCCACGTCGCTCTCTACTGGCAGACTATACGGTACTTGTCTATGAACCGGAGCATCTTCGTGATACGAAATGTACAACATTTATATTAAACGTTTATTTAATTTTTTTGCCAAATGAAGGGGAAATCAAAAGCTAAAGCATTCGTTAAACAAACCTCCAATGCAATCGTGACTTAAAGCTTTCGTGACTGCAGGAATTCATAGTATTTGGGTCTTTCGGTAAAGTCACGTAAATAGGTTCAAAGAAAATAACAAAAAAATTACCAAAAACTACGACGTTACGATCATAACACAACCTTATCTCCGTGACTTTACCGAAAGACCCAAAGAATATGAAAACCTCCAATTGTGTCTAAATGGGCACATGGCTTGTAACACGAGTACAGCAAGTGAAATTGCGTTGATCCCTGGAGTAATAACAAAAGAAAGGCCGCTACCTATAATTATACGAGCACGCATTTATTCCAGTGGCAAGGTGCCATGCAGGGATGACTCGGCTCGTGGTGCGCTCCAAAATGCAAACAGCCACTCCACGGCAAACTCTGCCATTAGGCATCGAATCAAGCTGTAGTATCATTGCAGGCACACAACAGGTACTGGTGCTATTGCCAATTGTGGGGATTTTCCATGACGATGGAGGGGGGGGCAGCGGTGGGCATTCTGCTGATGTTAATGTGCGCAAGATCAATACGACGTGTGCCGCATGCAAAGCTAGATCCCTTCCTGTCCCATTGTTGCGCAGCGATGAGGATCAATTTGTTGCTAACGACGCGATTCAGAGAGTTCGTCGTATCGGGGTTTTTTTCTATTTCATTCGCTGTGCCAGATGTCACACATTCCCACCCCCCCCCCCCCCCCCCTAGAAAAAAACAACACAAAACGTAGGCTTTCATGACCGATATCAGAATTAATAAATTGGGGTTTGGGTTAGGCCGTGCGTACATTATTTGTTTATGATGCTGCGTTGGCAGTAGTCTAAAAGCACAATAACGCAGACCCATGGCAATGATTAGTCAATAACACTGCCACCTAAAGATGAACAAATGTAGCCAGCATTTCAGGCAACAGTCACTCTCCCTTCTTTGTCATTTTTTGGTGAGGAAGAAGGCCCACTGACCAAAATGTCACTTATAATTTACTCTTTAAGGCAGAGTCATTAACGAATCTATTGTGTTTTTGTTTTGTTATGAATACTCCACAGATTTGCACAATATTCATTACGTATTGAGTGCGTCAACGTGACAGCCCAGGCAGCAGCTTCAGAGTTGACACAACGCAACGGTTTGCAGATGGCTGCATTCTGCAAAGACACTGCATTGCCCCCCTTGGCAGCGGTCTGCAGATGGCTGCATTCTGCAAAGACACTGCATTGTGCCCCCTGGCAATCGGTTTGAAGACGGCTGCATTCTGCAAACGATGGGTGGTGAGTGGAGGTGCAGCAGTTGGCGTCCTGCGCGATGAATCTGGCACGCGTGTGCCTCAATTGCACTGGCGTGTTACATGCACACCCTGACGGCCTCAATGTGGTCGCGCGCAAAAAAATAACCAAGCGAACAATCTGCGTCTGCCGTTTTGCATCTGCTACGTATGTCACAGAACCTCTCTATCCCCTTCGCTATCCATGTACGCTTTAGTGGTTTACAAGGTCGAAAAAACACACTCACAGGTACAGCATGTTTTTTGTTTGTTAATACTGTTCCTTCTGTTGAGTGCTTAAAATGTTGCCATTACTTATATTATAAGAGTATAACATTTACGTTGTTGATGTTACATTGTTAGTGTGTCATCCTCAAAACGTACTGCCTGCCCTATTTCCGATCGCATTCGTATTTATCATAATAGTTTTTTTTTTAAACCAGCAGTTTAAAAAAAAAACATGAATGCGTCGAGTTGAAAGGCAAACAATAGTTGTTGTTTTTTAAGTAGAGTGTAAGTGCACGCAACACAGCAGCAGCGGCACATGCCAATCAAACATTTGAAATCAACTGTTGATGAAACGGACCGAGTCGTCCGTCCAATTGAAGTTCGTTCTGGTGACAGCTGCAAGCGCGCTCCGGGTTGCCAAGAGTCGAAGGGCCTCCTGCCAATCACAATGTCAATCTGGTGGAACGATTTCAAGCAACCGCGCGTGAACAAAAAGTTTGAGAGGGGAAACTGCACAGGAGGTGGACGCTAATGGGAAGCATCGGACGCTGCACAAACTCCTCGAATCCACCCAACAGTAAAGAAACAATATTGAGCAACGCGCTATTATTTTTCAACCCTCGTTTAAAGGGTCGATGGACGTAAAAAAAACTCTTCAAATAACAACACGGCAATAAAACATGACAAATGTAAGGTCATTGTTCAATCAAATCGCAGCGTCTCCAGTCCTGTGGGAGGCTCGTGTAGGTTGCGTAGCGGGACATCCCACTCAACCAGCGGTTCGCAACCTCTCTGGATCCGCGGACTCGTGATCTATCCCTCAACGCACGACCCATGTACCCACCAATAGCCTATTGTGTTTTTAATTAATAGCTACCCTGAAAAGAAATACAATAAAATATGAACAGGTGTACATTACAGCCCACCAGTGGACCAGGTTGGGAAGAGCCACTACTCTCACCCATCCGCGCTCAAACCCAGTCACGAAACTTCTCCGACAACAACCTGAGGCTCAGCCGGACGTGCTTCGGGTTAACCGCTATCAATTTCAAAGTGCGCAACGCAGATTCGTGAGCGCACCGTGTAGGGGACATACTTCCATCGCAAAGGCAAAGTCTGAGAATTTGCATCTCAAATGCGGAGTTTATTCGTTTCATGAGTTCATCAAGTTTGGCAATTACGTCTCGTAACACTTTCTAGAAAATAAAGCGCAGTGTATTCACAGCATTGCCTAGGATGAGGTCTATTGCGAAAACCTGCACTACTTATTGCGATTTAACAGGATCTGCGGCTAATGAAACAATGTAAACACATTTGTCTGCACACGTAGAAATCTAATACTTCGAAATGAACAACGCAAAATATGCATTCGTTCGGTAGCATAACGTGTCATCAACCAAATCTCTTCCTAAAGTAACTTTGAACGTGGACGTAAGCTTATCCATGATTAATTTGACGTCTCACCAACATCAGATATCCACAATTTTAGGTGAGATTGCCAGGTACCAGTCATGTTGATTACATGTTCATAAGATGACACAAGAACATACGGAATTAAGTAAATTACTTCACCCCATGCGAACAACCGCCCGTCATCCAGGCTGGGTCCGTTTTAAAATAATTTCATTTTAAAATAAGGGAAAGTTTTCTTGTCGATATTTCGGTCAATTAATGTATTTACTTGACACCGGAAGAGTCTCTCTTAAGACAGAAAGCTAAATCATTTCATGGAGATGTGGATTACCAGTCTCGGAAATAAAATATTTAAAACAATTATTGACTTCGCTTACATGATTTAAATTTAGCTGTGACATGTGCACACTGTGCGAGTGGCCCAATGGTGTAGTGGTTAGCGCACTGCTCTGTGAACCCAGCAGCTGGAGAACGATTCCTCTCACTGGCCAACACCAGCGGCGAGCGACATCTGAACTGGTCCTGGGCCCTTCGCCAACCCGCGCTGACTAAAATGGTGAAGTATGGTCAAAGAACCCCCCCATGCGTGACAACGCGGCATGAGATGTCTTTCGTCTAGCAGTGGATTGCTAAATGGTTGTAATTTTGTATTATTTGCCAAGTGTAAATATAATTCAGAGGAATCTTAATATTTAACTGCCTGGACTTACATAATAAACTTCCATGCCATTACCAAGTGGCTCTTATATTAGATTTTGTATAATTTCTTTCTGTTCACATAGCTATCGCAAATTCAATTTCGCCAAGTGTATATTAGTCCGACTCCAAATATTTCATCTCGTGCCCTCTTTCAGCGACACGTTGCCGTTCGAAGTACTGTAGAGTACAGGAAGTGTAGTCCATAAGAGTTTTTTTGGTTATCTTTTCGCGTAAATATATGTCGTTAAACCCACCACCACCCGACACAGCCAACTAGTAAGGGTTGCCATGTAAACAGAACATGCAAATTCGTCACTAGTACAGCACACCGGTGTGTTGGAGAGCCAAGCCACAACATTTAAAACATTTACAATTGTGGCTTGGCTCTCCAACACGCCAGTGTGCTGTACTAGTGTAGTGACATTGTGGGTGTCACTATGGCGCTCAGCGCCAGCTACTGTCGCAGGAGTGGAAGCGCATGTCGGGAGTCCCCTCTACACCACACCAAGCGGGCCATAGGGCAGAGGACGCAATTGGTACCCGATACCCGTACCCTACCCGATACCCGGCTACTCGGCCGGGTACGGGTACGGGTACCCGTTTGCGACCCTGGTGCGGCTGGGTACGGGTAGGCCGTGAGTCACTGGTGAGTCATCGTTTGTCACTCATTTCCCAACGTCTTGTCTCTTCTCACAATTCAAGTTCCTAGAATCAACCCACCCGCCGCGCCTGCAACATGGCTTCATCCCAGAGGTCGCAATCGGGTACCCGTACCCTACCCAATACCCGGCCGGGTACGGGTAGGGTACGGCCGGGTACGGGTAAGGAATCAAAACCCGTTTGCGACCTCTGCCATAGGGGGCTCGAGGGACACGTGACGGGGAGCCGAGAGCTTCTGGCATGATCCAGAACGGGGCGTGGCCAAGGGTGGGGCGTGGCCAAGGGCGGGGCCATGGGGGATAAAGGGGAATCCCCGACAGGGATTGGAGCTCGTCTGTAGAATCATCCTGGGGTCCGGGGTCTCGTCGTCTCTGGGTCTTCGGTCTTCGCTCGGCATCGTGGGTCAGGCAGCGAGTACGCTGACTGACCCGTTTGTGTAGTTAATCCGCTACTCACAAAGTTAACCGTATAGCTATCACTTAGATATTCTTAGGTTTTTTCGGTAAAGTCACGTAGGTAAAAAATTAAAATTTAAAAAAGTAAATTAAAATAAAATAAAAATCACGACGTTTCGGAGGCAACACAAGCTTCCGTCTTCAGGTGGAACCGTCACAGCTATCGTGCTGTGACGGTTCCACCTGAATAATATATAGGAGTTTAATTTTTTACCTACGTGACTTTACCGAAAAAACCTAAGAATATGAATCCTTGCAGTCACGAAAGCTTCAAATCTAGAATTATCACTTAGATGTTGAACCAGTTACGTTTAGAGTTACCCTGTTGGGAAGTTGTTAAATAAACGTGTTGCCTCCAAATCCAGTGTGTGCCTCCGTACAACACACTACACTAGCACCGAATTGGCATGTTCTGCTTACATGGTGGGTTTAACGACACATTTATATATTTACACGATCTAACCCAAACAAACCTCTTATGCGTAAAGAAACTGTAGTGTCACATTGAATCTGGCAAAACGAGACAGCATCATCTTTGAGAAGTTAAACAATGAAATCCCTCTTAACATTAATGTTCATCACACAACCGTTTCGCCCTCTTATGAAACCCTCGTGTTGTTGGCTACAGAGCTACGAGTGGAGCTCTACGTTAAACACATCGTACAAAGACTGGACATCGTATTCCTCCACAACACAACTGGCACGAGCAGAATACTGGTTCAATGCGATGGGAAAAAGAAATAAAGTGGTTTTCTCTGTCACCTCTGTACCTTGAAGACAAACTGCAGGGCTACACGAGCCGCACATTTGCATAATAATAATTGATCACATGACGTCATCCCAAGATAATGATACTTAGAACAGCAGAAATGCATTTAGGAGTTTAACATGTAGGCTTTAACAACCAATCTTATTCCATGATAAAAGTTTGAATTGAAAATGTTGTGGGCTTACTCTCCAACACACCGGTGTAGTGAAGTAGTAACAATTGGCACGTTTTGTTTACGTGACAAACCTTACGAGTTGGCTGTTGGATGGTGGTGGTGCGTTTAATTACGCATTTATATTTACGCAATCTAACCCAAAAAACCTTTTATGGATGCATATAGGATTTTGATATAGATTTCCACGGTGTGTATCGACTCATACCGCCTGCTGTTCGGCATAATGTCCGACGATTCACTGCATGTGCAGGAAGCTTTCTAAGGAATTGAATGGAGAAGTTCACGTGTTGCCTCGATTATATAAGTTGATGGCTGGCGCTTCATCTCAGCTAGACAAAGTTATTTAATAAATAATAATCAAAATAAGTAACATCGGCCGACCTACATCATACACCAGCGGCAGCCAGAATCTTTAAATAATTGAAGCAGAACCTAAACTGCGCCATTAAGTTCCTGCAGTAGCTCCCGGCACGTAGATGGAAATGTTCGACATCGTACCGAACATCATGCGGTACAACCCGAAGACACATCCGAAGACGTACATCATACATCACAACCGCGAAAGCCCATGCAGGGGTCTGATTGGTTAATACAATGCATGTGATTCAACATTGCAAGCGACTGGATGTTCAACATGAAACCAGCACCCTTGAACAGAGCCCTTGAGTTTATCTTGAAGGTAATATTAGTCAGTGCACTTGCAGCACAGCTGTCATGTTGGAAAGCTGTTTAAAAAAGGTTCACGTGAAAGGGCATTTTATTTCTCGTGTGTTACATTTCACTGGTTGGGGGAAGGCAAGGGGCAATGGCTGATACAAACATACGACTTCATATGCTAGCACAGCTGATCTTACTCACAAGCAGTATGCTTACAGACATTTTGAAATGCATTGTGTTTAACTTTAGGTCAAAGTTATATAAGCAATAAAATACTGAAAGGTAATTTCACGTCCTGTTTTAAAGACTCAAAACTGTCCATGTCATTCGCCAAAATAGCTGCTTCGTTTATCATTCACATGGGTGCACTTAGCAGGGGAAGAAAGGGACTGATAAAACATCTAATTTGGCTGTTTGAGAAACGAAACTTAAAATAATCATGCGTTGTCATAAAATGGCAGGCAGTGATTATTAAACCACTGCAGAAGTCTTGCCAATGTGCAGATTTAAAAAGAACTGTGCAGCTCTGAGCTCCATATCGGAAAACAAAATTTCATGGACCACTTCATTATTCGAATCAATTATTTTCATTATTCTTCACCATCCACGTGATCAATCTACCGCTGGCTGAAGGACTCTCCGAGACGTCGCCATCTGTCACATTGCTGCCATGTTCACAATCCACCGGGCACTCACCCACCCAAACACTCAACCACTCACTCACTGAGCCACCAACTCACCCACCCACTTACTCACCCAACCACCTACTGACCCGCCCACTCATCCACTAGGGCGGAGTGGAGGTTTGGTTGGGGTCGATGTTACTGGGAGCTGGTGCTTGCACTATAGGAATATTGACAATTAAGATTCTTCTATACCACTGGAGAAAAAAAAAATCCACCTCGCACCTGTACACGATCCAAATTTCATTGCTCCATCTCCTGCATGGAATTTCTCTGGGATGCTTGCCATTTTAATCATTCATGTATGTATCGAAGTGACACTGTTGGCTCCGACCTATGTGACAGTGAGTAAAATTTTTATCAACGCAATAAAAATAGCTAAAACAAATAAAAGACATTTTTTATAAAAATAAACACTACAAATTATTCAAAGCACTTTCTCTACTCACAACAAATCTGCGCTCTCATCGCTAATACATTGCTTACACTCAACCACGTCGCATGGAATTGACATTTTCAAGAACACGAATACAAATTGTACATTTCCATACCTCTTACACAAGGTGTGCAGTTCGACCTCCATTCTGTACATACTACAAGCAAGTCAAATCTGAATAAAAATAACACACCTGCAAGGGATGTCATATCTAGACCAAACAGTCATATACCTTCTGGATTATCGCTACCTCAAAATATTTCATAATTTAAACCTCAGCGTTGAGTGGTAGGTTAGCACTGTCTAAGTCACGTTAGGTGACCCTGTACACATGTGTGCCTGTGTACGTGATGCATGTGTATCCTATACATATTTTAAAAAAACAATATTTGAATTACATTAAATATGGATTTCTTCGGTGGTCACCGACACGAAAACCTGCCGAGAAGCAGTTATTTCGCCGAGCTCGCAAGACGTGTCCCTTCTCGTTCGAGTAAGGAACTTAAAACACCGAGGAACGTGGGCTTCGGGGAGGTCACGTGGGTGGGGGGTTCCATCCCTGGCCCCCTCTAAGGAGGTGGGGGAGCCCCTACGCCTAGATGTGTATAATAAACGAATGCATATGGAAACAAATTAAAGCATTAGCTAACTTCTCCAAGTGCTAGGCACTGGAGTGATGTTCCCATGTCTACGTACGGAGCGTGTCGGTGACCACTGCATGGATGATCCAACGGAAACAAGTAAATCAATAAAATATTATTGTAGTCAAAGGTTTATACACGTGAAATAGTGAACGCTGGAAAATGTCAAGGGAAGCAAACTTATTTTCCTTTCCGTTTCTGCCTTCTATATTGAGGCTCGCATGGGCTATGCTACATGCACATTAAGGCACCTTCCCAACACTCGGCCATAGAAATATAACTTCCACTGCGTAACGTGTGGAACGAAGCTTTTACTGGCGATGTACCGGGTGGGTGTGGTGGAAATCATGGAAAACTGAATTCACCTAAACAATCCTTCATATTTTGACTTAAAACTTTCGTGACTGCAGGATGAAGACTGCTTTTCTAAAATATTATATTCGTAATTTTAATTTAATTTTATTTTTATTTTCTATCTACGTGACTTTACCAAAAGAACCACAGAATAATACTTCATACGTTTCCCGCGTCTACAGGGTGGGTGGGGGGGATAAAAGGTTTCTTAAAATGTCTTAAATACTTAATTGTTGTTCATTGTCTTAACATAATTCATCGTTGGCAATTATGATAAACAAACGTGGACCGATTGATTCATTGTGCTCCCCCGTGAGCGACAGACGATTACGCAAATACCAAAGTTGTATTTGTGTTCGTGATGTACGCACGACGATTATGCTCAAGATTATTGCCTGTGGTCACTTAGCCCGTGAGGATCGGTGATTTATAGAACAGCTACACCGACGGAAATGTCGTGAATAAGTTGTAAATGATAGTGGAAGTGAAATCAACATCATTCACAGAATTTAAATGTGCAAAAAAGGTAAGAAAACACTGATAAAAACTAAACCAATAAAACATCTACCGTGACATGTAATCCTAATGGAAGACCATGAGCACACAAATTATTGGTGCCCACAAATTCCCCACTAGAAAATGTTGAAAAATTATTAAATTTAAATAATAAGTATCACCATAATCCAACATTATAGCCTGTTATGAGCTTCTAACAATGCCAGGTCTTGGACAGAGCAAGGGGCGTTCCAGAAAATATTGATCTCCCTACAGGACGAGAAGTCATGGTCAAAACAAAGCCTTCGACAGAAGCAGAGATCCGTTCACACAGCGGCAGGCAGGAGGGCCCAACAGGGCCGGCCTTCTGAACACGCCGAGCCCGGCTTATTTACAAGCTTCAAAACTTCCTTCACAAGACCGAATTCGACACACAGCGGATCCTGTGATAACACGATCGAAGAAATAAAAATGTGTGTGCATTCGCATTCATGTTCACGGGACTTGGGAAGCGGTTGAGAGTTGACGCAAATTGCGACGCCGGAAATTTTTTCCAACGGGCAAATTGAAAAAAAACGTCTGTGGAGGATACTTGAGGCGGCCGCAAGCGAACCAAGGCAAGACACCTCCCTGCTGCTCGGCCGTCCTTTCCCCCGTGGCGCGCGATTCCTCCCCGCCGCAAGATGATGCGCATGGGTACTCTGCAGTCTGGCGGAAAGCAAGATGCTTGGAGGGTGGTGCGCGGAGGGGAAGTTTTGGGTGGGTGGAGGGGGGGGGCATCATCTGCCCCTGTGTACACTGATCTTGCCGGCCTCGGTCAGCTGCTTGATGATCTTCTCCTCGTGGTCGGCGTCGTGCACGCCCGTCTTGCGGAACTCGCCCGAGTAGCGGTTGTTTTCCCAGTAGTGGTGCCAGTTGCCCCGGCTGTCAGCGCCGAATCCGTACACGTCCACCTGGTGGGGCAGGTGCGTGAGCGGTCGAACGGCCGCGTTTAAAGCAAGCACACGTTAACTTTGTGACTCAAAACGTTACATTCTTATTTTACCGGGAATGGTCGAAATTTCGAGGTTTTGCTTTAACATTCACGTCAAGAGGCTTTTTACCCGTACCTCGTCGCAGACGTGCAGCGCGAAGAAAAGCGCCACCATGCCAGTGGAGGGGTAGCGGCCGTGGTGCTCCGTCCAGCTGTCGTGGATGTATTTGAAGAAGGCGGGATTGTAGATGAGCACCTGCAGACGGGAACGGTCACTTACTAGGGAGCCGATCGCACATCAAACGCCGTGGCGGATGCCAAACACAGGATGCGGAATATCCTCATCGATCCCAGCTCACACACAGATTTCGTTTGCTCTTACAAATGTGCCAGTTTGGCTGAGCTTATGGAGGCCAGATGAAGGTCCGTGCTGCATTTCATCATGCTACGTAACAAAACATTCAGCCGCTTGTCAATCGACTGCTGGATGAAGGTCGCACCACGCTGTGTTGGTCATGGAGGTTGTTTGACCGTACTTCACCATGCTGAGCAGTGCAGGCTGGTAAAGGGGGAGGCCCAGGACAGGTTCAGATATTACTCGCCACTGATGGTAGTCAGGGCGAGGAATCGAACTCAGATGCGGGTCTGGTTAATTGCATAATACGCTAACCACTGTACCCTCCCCCCCCCCACCACAAAAAGCTTACGCAATTAATACAAATGCATAAATATATAATTGATGAGCAATACATAATTATAAACAAATATTAAAATAAATGTTGACTTACAACTGCGCTTGTAATGCGTGTTTGCAATAATACAATAAATGTTGTTTATTTGCAGTACAATACAATTGTTGTTGTTGTCAATGGCCATTAATTTCAGGTAATTGTGCTTTGTTTACATTGAAAATCAGCCGGCAAGGCAGAGGACCTTATCAGAATTGCATTTCAGCGGCAATCCCCAGTGGGGTGCGGAGGGCTTATAGGTCAGGGCACAACACGGGAGCATTCCGTTCATGCGGCTAACTGCGACAAATGGGCATTCAGCCAAAATGGGACAAGAGCAGGAATGTAAACTGTACTGATGCGTTAAACATGTACACTCACACTGGCGCATAACAAAGACAGAGATCCCTCCTGTCGCCTGGCTCGCTCCCGTGATATGGGGGGCGGTGGTGTGGCCAGCACCATGCCCGGCCTCTTTTTTTTTGTCTCTGCAGTGCTGATGTTTGCATACCAAACCAGGTACTCATTTCAGGCAGAGTCAAACTAATGGAAGGGCAACTCGGGGCCAGTTCACATATCCATCACTGGTGTTAGCTGTCAGCAGGAATAAAACTTGGGTCGCCAGATTCGTAACGCCGTGGTGCTAACCACTACGCTTCTGCATCCCCTTCCCACAAAGACAAAGCTTGTAACAGACTGTAGGGGCAAGTGCTGTTAGCGAGCACCTATGAAGGCTGGAACAGCACACGAGCGAGTGTGTGGTCAGCACCACGCCCGGCCGCCTTTGTCTCCCTAGTGACGATGTTTACACACCACAGCAGGTACTAATTTGAGGCCGAGTCGACCTAGGGGAGGCCCAGGAGCGGCTCAAATAATCGTCACTGACGTTGGCTGTGAGCGGGAATCGAACCCGGGTTGCTGGCTTCGTAGCGCAGCGCGCTAACCGCTACACTACCGCTCCCCCACCCACACACGCACGCACAGATGCGCAATCACATACAGACAGGATGCCATGACCTCTAAATGAAAACAAGGATATGGATTTCAAGTAAGCAGGAGCAAATGAGTCAGGATTTGGGAACGATAAAAAAAATGCATGCAGAAGAACAAAACGACGATTAAATTTACTGATTGTATTGCATCCTCAAAAATAATGAACGGCAATTTTTCAATGAGGTAGGTTTTCACAGCTGTGTTGTAGAAACTCTCCCAATGTTTTTTTGGGTTGTGCTGTGTAGTTCGGCATAATAAGATTTTTTATTTCTTTTAAAGAGCATTTCCTATAGCACCTTGATGCATGGTATGCACACGCTGAGAGCTTCAGTTGCCGAAGAATCTTCCAGCGCGTGAAGCGGAGGCTCCGGACATCGCGCCCAACACCGCACCGCTACGCCCTTTATTAAAACCAAACTTGTAATTCTGAAAGAGCTTTTCAAACGTGTTCCAAATAGCTTATTATGTCTGCTCCGACTAGAGAACCCGATAAAAACCAGAGCTCTACGCAAGGCCGTTTCTTCAAAACAACACGATACTTACGATACATCTTAATGAACGTTTAACCAATTAATCAGTTTCTAATGTGCGTGACGTGACTTAACAACTCAGGTAATTGCAGACTGTCGCACACGCACACACACACACGGCTGCCGATTTACATCGTGTTGGTTTTGGAAGCGCCTGCAGCTACGACAGAGGGGGGGGGGGGGGGGGGGGGTGCTCTATAACCTGGGGAACAGTGTCAACAGACAGGGGTGTAACAATTAGTTGACGAAGACAGATCGGGCGGGCACAGCGTTGGGTTTCTTGCAGGGTGGGACCGGAGCGATAATGGAGAGAGGGGACTGGGTGGCTGAGGAAGGTTGGATCACGCTCGCAATTTGTCAAGTAGGGCCCCCCCTCCTCCGCCTTCCCCGGTACGGCAAATGAATTCTGGTTGCATGGCACTGCTTCCCCAAGGTCTCAGAAAGGACCTCTTTTCTTAAAAAGGACAAATGCACAGATGCCAGAGAGAGGAAAGGATTACACTGCTGTGTGTTACAAGCTAGGCAGGTAATACGATGGCCCATCGCAAAAGCTTGGGGGCATGTGTAGTGACATAAGAAGGGAGGGGCTGCTGTAGGCTCTGGGTTCCCAGGTGGGTCCAGACGCGTAAGCCTCTGGGCGCCAGGCACTGGGTTCCCAGGGGGTCCAGACGCTTTTAAGCCTTTGGGCGCCAGGCGTTGGGTTCCCAGGCGCTTAAGCCTTTTTGGCGCCGCCAACGGGGGGGAGGCTGTGTGTGCTCTGTGGGATGTCTGGTGGCGCACACAGCCCCACCCCTCGTCGGACCAGGCATAAAAGGAGAGCTCCCTGGACGATCGGGGCCCAGTTGTAACTCAAGACCCAAGACCCACGACCAGCCATCTGAAGACCCTGGGATGCTGTGAGAGCCAGCGCTGGGACTCTGGAACTCCCGACTCTACGACCTTGTGAGGGCGAGCGTAGCCAGAGTAGAGTATCTAGAGTATCTAGGCTGTGTAGCTAGGCTGTGTACCTAGGCTGTAACAGAGTATCAGGACTGTTGGAGTGTTGTATTGTAATAAAGAAGTTACATCTACAAGTGTCTCCGGAACCCGTTACATTTGGTGTTAGAAGTGGCTATGGAGACAAGAAGTAAGCCACGTACCTTCAGTCCTGACGGCGATGAAGAGGAGCAGGCAGCGATGGGGCGGCCAACGCCGGCCGACAGCGACGCTGCACCGCCGGCCGACAACAACGCCGCACCGCCGGCTGAGCAGCTGTCTGCTCCGCCGACCGTCCCCTCTCCAGCGTCGGGAGCAGAGATGGAGGAGGCGCTGCTTCGCCTCGCAGAGCTGCTCTGCGCCACCGCCTCCCTCCTGGGCGAGCTGCGGTGCTCGCGGCCGATGGCGGCGGGAGGGAGAGAGGCGGCGCGGCGCTCGCCCGAGCCCAACGCCGCCGCCATTCCCCCCACGGATGTGAGAGATACTTCCGGGTGTGTCGTCACTTCCACCAGAGGAGCAGTGACCGCTGGGAGCGACGTCACTTCCGGGCCCAGCGTGTGCCAACCCGACGACGCCGCGTCATCAGCGCTGCGTCCCTCACCGCCGGGTGACAGCTGTTGGCAACCTAGCATACCGCGTCATCAGCGCTGCGACCGGACAGTGAGGGCGCCATTCTTACTGTAACCAGCGCCGGGGCCGGCACATGGACCGACTCGCTGCTCGCCGCCCCTGCTGCTCTGGCCAAAGGTTGGAGGTCGGGAGACCAGGCCCCTGACACTTCGTACATTTTACGCGCTCCGGATTAATGATTTTTTTGTTGATATTTTCTTCGTTGTCGTCGGGGAGTCGTGACTGTTGTTGGGTAAACTGTGTGGAGCTTCGCCCGTGAGTGTTGTCAATGTGTGTGCGAAACTTTGCTTGTGATTGTTAACAATGTATGGTTTATATTGAGCTTTGTTCGTGATTGTTAATGTATAGCTTGTGCTGTCATTGTTAACGATGTATATACTGTATGGGGCATTTATCTTGAGATGGTGACATGCTGCCAAGGATTTGGAATTGTCATGCTGGCTCTCAAATATCTTGGGGTGCAGATCCTGACCAGGATGGCCCAGCGGGTGTTGCATGTCTAACACGAGAGTTGTGGTCCCGTCATGCTATGGCTGACGGCTTGACCTGACAGCCCGGAGATAGAGACACTCCGTGGCATGTCTAGCCTAGTGGGCTGTGTGCTCACATGGCTCGGAGAGTGTGGTCCCGTCATGCTATGGCTGACGGCTTGACCTGACAGCCCGGAGATAGAGACACTCCGTGGCATGTCTAGCCTAGTGGGCTGTGTGCTCACATGGCTCGGAGAGTGTGGTCCCGTCATGCTATGGCTGACGGCTTGACCTGACAGCCCGGAGATTGAAACACTCCGTGGCATGTCTGGCCTAGTGGGCTGTACGCTCACAGGGCTCGGAGAGTGTGGTCCCGTCATGGAATAGCTGACGGCTTGACCTGACGGCCCGGAGATTGAAACACTCCGAGGCGCGTTGAAACAGTGGGCTGGAGATTCGTGGTGTTCAGGTGTAGTTGTCCCGTTACGTTGGGACTGTATCCCTCAGTTGTTAGGGTGCATGTTGTGCAGGGAGTGAACAATGGGTCGTCTCAGATCGGTCGGTACAGCTATATGCTGCGATGCGAGTCTTGGAGAGAGGTTGGGTCTCAGATCGGTCGGTACAGCTATATGCTGCGATGCGAGTCTTGGAGAGAGGTTGGGTCTCAGATCGGTCGGTACAGCTATATGCTGCGATGCGAGTCTTGGAGAGAGGTTGGGTCTCAGATCGGTCGGTACAGCTATATGCTGCGATGCGAGTCTTGGAGAGAGGTTGGGTCTCAGATCGGTCGGTACAGCTATATACTGCGATGCGAGTCTTGGAGAGAGGTTGGGTCTCAGATCGGTCGGTACAGCTATATGCTGCGATGCGAGTCTTGGAGAGAGACTGGGTTGAAGTCCCCCCCGATATGGCCGACGTGCGCGGTTTTAG